ATTATTTTATACTTTACACTTTACTTTTTCAAATTTGTGGTAAAGTATAAAATGATCTAATTTACAAACATGTATCCGTACCTTATCCGAAGCCATTTTTCGTTTATTTTCCTAATATTTATTGCAATAAATAATATTTTCATAATGAAACGACGGACATATTGTACGCTTTCTCGATTTTGCCGCTTGCTGTTTGCTGTTCGTTCGGTTCAACTTCAACGAACTGCGGCAAAATGTATTTTGCGCCGGAAGTGCGTCGTCTAGCTTACATAAAATTCTTAACCAATAGTAACGAATTACTGCTACAGCGTGCTGCGCATGAAAAAGCACCTTTATATTTAATATCTGGGGCTCTATTCTTGAAAAGAAACGTATACGAAAAATTAGGAAAATACTATAGTATACGTTACGTATACTATAGTATTTCCCTAGACTTTCGTATACGTTTCTTTTCAAGAATAGAGCCCCTGTTCCTAATATTTCTTCTATTGTGCGTAGGCCCTTATATTCTTACATCATGGGTAAATACAAGGCTACGTTCAGCAGACTCAACAGTTGAGTGAGCACTCGCTGTTATTGGTGTATTCTTTTAGATCATCCAATCAAATTTTAAATCTAGAAGAATACACCAATAACAGAGAGCGCTCACTCAACTGTTGAGTCTGCTGAACGTAGCCATTTCTTCTTTTTTTTTATCTTTATCTCTTTCTTTCTTTTATATCTTTCTTTTTTGCATTTGTGTGTTATTATTATTATTCTTTCATTTACTTATACAGTTATGTATACATTTAATTTATTAACAAGCTGTGTTCGAAATAATTCATATCAATGCGATATTATTCATTTTTGCAACGATCTAAAATAACGTGCAATTAAAATGCGTTCTGAAAAATCATTCAAAATGGTTTAAAATATTTTCCCGCAGAAGTCTTTGAGGTTAAGATGTGAAGAATGTTATTAAAAAGATCGAGCACGCGTTCGTGGCTGCTTTCAGGATCGTTTCGGATTGCCTGAACCATCGTTAATTGATACAAAAAGTTGATTTTAATTTGCATCACGAATCAATTATAAAAACCATTACTTTATGATTATTGAATGAATATATTGAATATTGAAATGACGAATACTGAAAGTGAATACCGAAAGAATGATGATTGAATGACGAATATCCTCTATTGTGAAAGGATAAGTTGCTTATGTTGATATTTACAAATCTTTTTAATGAAGATCTTAGTATTTGCTATAACTTTAACTAAGTATGAAGCATAGTTCTCAGGCAGAATTAATAGTATGAAGCTGCACACATGTTTGCTATACATCTCCTTGTTACTTATGCTCTGCATTTCTCATGGGTTAAACTGTAATCACTGTAACAACAGCTCTAAAAAACGTAACAATAATAATTGTACTGTAGAATTTTCGCTGCATGATACATTGGTCTCTCCAGGATCTTTCTGTCATGATACTCATGATGAAGAAGTCCAAGTTACCTTCTCGTCTAGTATAGTTGAAAATGAGTATATAATCAAATTTAATGGTTACTACAACGCACATACACGAGAGAATTATATAGGAACTGCGTTAAACTTGTCTAACATTAAGAACTGGAAAATCATATTGCGTAACAATGCAGCATCTATGTATCCTAGTGATTTTGATATCGTACGTTTACAAGAAACAGATAAGTACGAAGGACTTAAAGCTTTAAATAATCATCCACTTGTAAAGACTGTATCACCACAGAGACTTATATATAGAACTTTAAAATTTATCAATATAACATCAAATGATTCTAATGTCTTAGAAGACAGAAATTCTGAAAAAAGAACTAATGTAAGTTTGCAAATTATAAAAATAAGATAATTATATATGTCTGATTTTAATATTAAATGATATATTTGATGTTGTCACAAGGAAAAACTTAATTTCAGAATGTTCAGTCTGGACAATCAACAAACCGACATACATCTCGAAAGTTATTAAGAGCTATACCGAAGCAAGTTACTTATATGCTCGAAGCTGATGTACTATGGAAAATGGGCATTACTGGAAAAGATATAAAAGTAGCGATATTTGACACCGGGCTTGCTGCTAGCCATCCACATTTCAAGAACATCAAAGAAAGAATAAATTGGACGAATGAGAATACTCGGGAGGATGGCCTAGGTCATGGGACATTTGTAGCTGGTGTTATTGCATCATCCTCTAGAGACTGTTTTGGTTTTGCTCCAGATGCAGATCTTTATATTTTCCGTGTTTTTACTAATGATCAGGTATCTCTATTCTTCATGCTCTTTTCCTATTTATAATTTTATGACTTAAAAGAATTTATATCTGAAATATAATAGGTGTCTTATACCTCTTGGTTCTTGGATGCATTCAATCATGCTATACTTCGCAAGATAACAGTGCTAAATCTGAGCATTGGTAGTCCAGATTTTATGGACCAACCATTTGTTGATAAAGTATGGGAAGTTACAGCTAATGGTATTATTATGGTATCGGCAATTGGCAATGATGGACCTTTATATGGGTAAATAAAATAATATAACTTTCTTAGAGTTTATTTAAAACTTCAGATACATATTATCAAAATCCGAAATTGCTTCTCTATCTTCAAAGTGATCACTTTTTCAAAACTGGATCTTAGTTATATTTTACTTAAGTTTGAGTTATTTTTCTTTAATTTCTTGTGTACTTAAAAATTTTTTTAAATCTATAAGTATGATTAGTTTGTATGTCATAGCATTTCATTTGCACAGTACTTTAAGTAATCCTGCCGATCAAATGGATGTGATTGGTGTAGGAGGTATCAATTGGGATGATCAAATAGCAAGGTTTTCTTCGCGCGGTATGACCACTTGGGAATTGCCTTATGGATATGGTAGAATCAAACCTGACCTAGTCACGTATGGATCAGGAGTAAGAGTATCCGCTTTACAGAATGGATGCAGAAGTCTTTCCGGTACTTCTGTTGCTAGTCCCGTTGTTGCTGGTGCAGTTGCGTTATTAGCTAGTGCGTTTGTAGAAATAAATGGATCTAAAATTAATAAGGATAAGGTAATCATAAGATTTTTCATACTTGTTCATCAATACCAATATCATTGAGTATTGTACAGAGAAAGAATATTGTAAAAAACATAGTTCTATTATGTTTTGTGTTTTATAAGTAATATATTAAATATTTGTATAGGTAACACCGGCAAGTATGAAACAAGCGTTAATAAATTCAGCCCGTCGCTTACCAGGGATTAGTATGTTTGAGCAAGGTGCGGGAAAATTAGATCTTTTGCGGGCGTTTCATTTTTTACAGTCATATATTCCTATCGTTACACTTCATCCAAGGTAAGTTTTTCTTTATAAGTAATGAAAAAAAAATTATTATACAATAGTTAATGTAGTTTTTTCTTGTCTTGATATTGATTGTGTATATTTATTTAGTTAATTAATTCTGTTGATTTATATTAATTACATATATTATTTATACATATGTAATGATATAATAATTGCATAATTATTTTATCATAAAAAATCAAATAAATAAATAGATAAGACCAATAAAATCTCGATTATATCATGCGATAATCAATTTTTTTGTTAACTAGCTACATAGATTTGACGGAATGTCAGTATATGTGGCCATACTGTACTCAAGCTATATACTATACTGGCATGCCAACAATAGTCAATGTAACTATAATAAATGGTTTGGGTGTTGCTGGAAATGTAGTAAATCTTACCTGGCATCCATATACTGGTAACGGTAATGGTGAACATATTGATGTGGCGATAACATATAGCGATGTCTTGTGGCCATGGTCTGGCTGGTTAGCAGTCGCTATAACAGTCCCATCAACGTCTCACGATTGGCAGGGCATTGCACAAGGTTTAAATATTAATTTAATTTTTATTAATTTGATTTGTATTTATAAGCAGATTTATTTCTGTATAGGTCATATCTCACTCACGGTTGAGAGTGATGGCGTAGGTAAACCACGGCAATCAACTGTAATGCTTCCATTGCAGGCAAAAGTTATACCCACGCCTCCTAGACAGTAAGTAAAATTAAGACTTTTTGAACATAAATGTACCAAAAAATATATTTGCAAGGATTATTTAATAAATTATTTATATCTCTCATTATTTCTTTAGTAAACGTATCTTGTGGGATCAGTACCATAACTTGCGATATCCACCCGGATATTTCCCTAGAGATGATTTGCGCGTAAAAAACAATCCTCTTGACTGGAACGGGGATCACATACATACTAATTTTAAAGACATGTATCAACATTTACGTAATACAGGATATTATCTTGAAGTGCTTGGTCATCCGTTCACTTGTTTTGACGCGAGAAATTATGGGACCTTGCTTATTGTAGATACGGAGGAAGAATTTTTTCCTGAAGAAGTATGCAGTTATGTTTTATAAGATCACATACTTTCTATATGCGTGAAATGGTTTCAATTGCAGGTGACGAAGCTAAAACGGGATGTGGAAGAGAATGGTCTATCAGTAATCGTATTTGCAGACTGGTACAATATAGCAGTCATGCGAGAAATTAAGTTTTATGATCAGAATACCCATCGATGGTGGATACCTGAAACGGGAGGTGCTAATATTCCAGCCATAAATGATCTGCTTTATCCTAATTGGGGTGTGGCATTTAGCGACGAAGTACGAAACGGTCAGTTTACCCTTGGCCAGCACGCGCCAGTCATATTTGCGTCTGGTACTACATTAACTAGGTAAAATATTTTGTACGCAGGGAAACTAGTTTAGATTGTATACAGCAGATTTTTTTTTACATTTATTCAGATTCCCAAAGGGTGGAATAGTTCTGTATGCAGAGTTACATGATCAGGGTCAAGAGCTTCTGGAAAAAAAGTCAGGAATACCTACACTTGTACCAATACTTGGACTTTTACAAGTGACAAATGAAAATGATGTTGGATTTAATATTAAATTTCATAATGAAATACTAGCAGCTCAAAACGATGAAAAGAATTATATCAAAGAACAGATGAGTACGTCCGGTAGACTCGTTGTTTATGGAGATTCAAATTGTATCGATGACAGTCATTTACAAAAATGTATGTGTTACAAAAAAAATATTAATGGCAAAATATGTTAAATATATATTTTTAATAAAAACTGATAAATATTATATTTTACATTAGAAAATATTTCAAATTTTTTATTTCTTGAAACATTTTGTAACTTTTGAAAAAAAATTGTATAATTTTATTGGATATATTATTTATTGTAATTTATTATCTTTATTTAGCCTGTTTTTGGATGCTCGACGCTATTTTAGAATATACAACAACAGGTTACATACCTACTATTTTTATGGATGAAAATCAGAATAATCACAAGACTGTTAAAACGACCAGTAATATAGAGATTGGAGAATTACCATATCGAATGAAGGAAAATCATTTTAGTCGTCATAGTAAAGTTTTAATAGCTAATGAACCAGTAAGCAGTTTTAGATCTCTTCCATTATGTACTACTCCTGTCTATGCCGTTCCTATTCCAGTTAATGAATCTGTGCCAATGTAAGTAATTTCACATACATATATAAATATTATTTCAATTTCAAATACATTTTATTTTGCTTGATCCTTTTCTTGTTCCTATCTTGAAATTCCTATTTCAAAATAGTAAATGCTAGAAGAAAATATTTAAAAATTGCATTCCCAATTGCCCTATAATTGTGATGAAGAATAGAAAACTAAGACTACAGCTAAAAATATTGTAGATTGCTCTTATTTAAAGTGTTTTAAACAGATTATGTACTTGTCTATTGTTACTAATTATTTTTAGATTTTTGCGAACATTTTATTATCTTTTTCTCGCAGAGAACTTTACAAATCTCAGAAGATGGTTTCTGTAGGAAATACTATAAGCGCAGTAAATTCAGTAATGCAAGATACGGACACTTTCTGGCTTAAGAGACGAGTTGGTGGTGCTGGTATTTCTACATTGCAACATCTCGACTCCGACATTATGGCTTATGACACGAAAGAAAATCAAGAACATGTGATCGTACATCAGTGGAGTTACATAATAGTAATAGTTATTATAGTGACAATTATTGTGTATCTGTGTAATTATTTGGGATTGAACAGATATTCGCGCAGGAAACGTGCTATACTAAGAATATTTGGAGCCATTCGAGCTTTGGTTGTGCATAGGATACCTGGACAAATGTAATTTGATAACTTTGCAAGGATTATGTATTTAAAACACATAGTCAATATAATTTTTTTAAACAATTGGAGTATATATTTAAATTCCAAGAAATTTGTATACAAATTAGATTATGTGCCTTTAAAACATATAATATACAACATAAATTTGTAGATTATGTAAATTATTTTGATATAAAAAATTACATATTTAACAGCTTTATCTTTATTAAGCTAACACATAAATAATCTTAAATTATACATTTTGCTTATTTATATACTTTAAAATCTTTTAACTCCTTAATCAGTATTTGCTTTGGAACTTGCTTAACTCATAATCATGGATTGTGTATTTCAAATTAATATATCTTTATTTAACGTTACCATAATTGAATGATTTTGTTTATTTTGAAAAGGAAAATTCAAAAAATAAGATTATGTAATTGAAAATATGTAAAGTAAAAAACATTTGTTACATTTTTTTATAACCTAGTTGAAAATATCTAAATTCAATGAACTCGCAAATACTGATCAGGACTAAATCACAAAAATATAATATCAATTTTTACATTTTCTTTCTAAGGACATAATTTCTGACTCTGCTTTATATACATTAATTATAAAATGGATTATAAGTAACCCAGTGCGCTCTGTCTTGCTCTGTTGCAGATTTATGAGTGGTAAAAATGCTTTTGAAAACTTCCGACGCTTTAGGATCTTTTGCAACACTGTAATCGCGTTTAGCTTTCTTATAAGCAGGATCATTGGCCTCCTTGTGATTATTGTTCAATTTAGAAATTATTTTCTCTTCCTTCTTCATCTTCTTCTTGGGCAATTCATCCGTCTTCTTTTCTTCTGTTGATACATCTTCATCTAATTTCTTCTTCTTTGACTTCTTTTGACTAGCTTTTCTGAACACCACTCGTTCCTTCATGAGTTCCACATCGTCACCTTCTGCATTTAATATGACTATATCTGTCTCTTCAAATGGTTGCTGACATTTGTGACACAACTGTAAAATTTAACATTTTATTATAAAACTTATTCAGTTAGTATTTATTTCCATATAACTATACTGAATAATTTTACTTACTGTACTCTTTACTTCTTTAAGGGCACGTTCACTCATTACACAGCCACATGACCATAAGAAGCAGAATTTATATTTTCCATTCATCTCCAAACCAATGACTGGACAAATATATGGGCTTTTGCTTCCATCATTGTAACCATCTCCTTTCTCTGCCTTATCACCATCAAATGCTGGATTTGGTGTTAAATTGAGATTCCTTACATCCTTCAAGTTTTTAACGTGTACGGCAGATTCTGGAAGAGTATTGCGATCCAAAAGACCTTCCAACACAGCTTCTTTACTGTACAGGCGACCTAAGCTGCAACTTACGATTGGTGGTTGCAGTGGCAATTGCCGTATCGTACAGTGCTTCCATTTAAAAGCTAATTCTGCCTCCTTATCTTTCTGTAAATAAATATATACATACATAATAAATACGCAATATGAGTAATAATATAAGAAAGTAAATAATTAAATATTTTCTTTTAAAGTAACTTATATTAAAAATAATTTAAAAAGAAGTTGTGTGTGAGATTATGTATTGCACTATCTACAAGTGTTCTGTTTTACGCATGATGCACATCAATTGTCCTTGTTTAACATGTGATGAGTAACAAGGATAAATGATACATTATGTACATCATGCGTGAAACAGAATACACCCTCGTATACATAATACAATAAGTTGAAGTGAAACAAATATATATTTGTTTCACTTCAACATATTGCATTGTGTGTACAACACCAGTTCAGGTAGTGCAGACATAAAGAAGTAAAAACATATCTAGAATCAGCCCAAAATTGTAGAATAAAAGAATAAAAAAACTGATAATTATAGAATACACTCACCGCCTCTGATTTTGATAAAATTAAGCTCATTTGATGCATTTTCACTCAAAACAAAAGAATTTGGCAGAAAAACGCGGCGGTCTGCCCCACGAACGGAAATATTAATCGTTAAAGTTGACGACTATTCAGTTAGGAAATCTGTTCATTTAATCATTTGTCAATTTCAAGCAAAAATACTATCTTGGCAGCAACTTTCTGGCATTTAAGTTCCAAGCGGATAGAATAGTTTATTCTTTTTCGTATTCGCGGAGCGGCTATACAATGATCATATACGATCAGTTCTAACGGTTCTAACCTATGCGTGGACAGCAATGCTTGGTGTTCGGGGCAGTGTAGCCCCGAATAGATTTCCTAACTTGAATAGTCGTCAACTTTTAATGATTAATGTTCGTGGGGCAGACGCGTTTTTCTGCCAGATTCTTTCGTTTTGAATGAAAACGCGTCGAATGAGTTGTAATTTTATCAAAATCGGAGGTGGCGAATGTATTTTATATAATTACCAAAAAAAACTTACTAAAAGCAATGAGACTCTCAAAATTGAAAATACTCTGACAGAAACTGCAATAAAAAATCGAACTTTTCCAAGCGAGGTTATAGAGACTTCTCAAACTCACCTGTTCTGGTTTCTTCTTTATTCTAACGAGTTCGTCTCTGCGGGGAATAGTACCACCATCGCAACCCATGACGATAAGATGCTTCACAAATATTAATAAATACTTTAATATATTAAGTGTAAATGTCTTCTTTCACTTTCGAATTAACGAAAGACAACAATGGACAATAGGATGAATGGAATGCTGCGAAACGCAGCAAAACGTTATTCGTAAAACGACGCGTAGCGTGGTGTGGCAACGCGATCGTAAGGAATGATGGCAAATGGCGACCTCTCCACTTCTCGTCTCGGCGTCTCTACAAAGCACGCCCAACGACAGGGTTGCCAATCGCTCTCTACAAACTCCACTTTCTCGTATGACGTGGATACTCAATTATTACAATTTTTCCCAATCAGGACAGCGACGAATGACAATAAATAACGACGGAATAAAAAGCGGGACTGCAGACGCGCGATTCCCAGCGATTCCCAGCGATTCCCAGCGATTCCGATCACAGTCGGAGTAATCCGGGCGACATGGCCGCAGTTGGCAGCATCGCTGCGCGCGCGGAGTCAGCTGACGGCATGGCGTTGTTGGGCCACAAGTCGGCTTAGTTGTCGGGCGGGTCGCAGGGCAGCAGCACGCAAACTGTCATCACGTGAGTGGTCACAATGGTCTCTGACGGTCCTGTCGTCGACGAGCAGCGTCGTCCATTCTGCGAGATCCTCTGAAGTATCCTCGGTGGAAAGCCGACCTGGCGCCCGACCGCGCGATACCGACGACGATAACGACGAGGAGGAGGCTCGGCTGTTTCCCCGCTGGTACGTATAGCTAGTGGTTACACTCGCCTCTCGGACGAGGCACACCGCGCGCCTGCCGATCTCGTTCCCGAGACGCGAAACGTCACGAATAAACCGACGTCGTCGAAGAACCGTCCGTAAAGATTCTCAGCGATTCTTCGCCGTGTAATTTTCAACCTTGTGATTCGCGTCGTACGTTCACGCTCCTCCGCGCCCATCGCCGACGCGTCGCGCGTTATCGATCTCTTCGAGGGCGGCTGGAGGTCCGCCGACGCCATTGGGTTGCTGACGGCGGCTATTCCCCCCTCCGTCATGGGATTCATCCATATATCTCTTCGAAGAGCTCGATTCTCATCTCCAGAGATCTCCTCCAAGAACGCACCATTCTTTGACGCCCGTCTTGGCGAGTTCCTCTTTTTTTTTTTTTTTTTTTCCCCTATCTCTGTCTCCCTTTCGCTCTTAATTCACTCTTGATATCGATCGGCTGCGGTGTATCCGTTCGTACGATCACGTGGAAAAGGCGCCTAATTACATAACAAGCGGACGCGATGCTCCTGCCGTGCCACACCCCCTTCCGTGCGGCTCATCCCACAATCCGCAAATTTTCCCGCGAATTTATAATTTGTCTTTCCATCTGACGATCGTTCGGTCATCGCGGGTCGTCTCGACCGCTGTCTGTTGCGCAAATGCAAGTGGCGCGGTGTGCACGCTGTGCAACCGGTTCGATGCGTGGCTGACAGGACGGCAGCAGGTGGTTATCCAGAACAATCCAGAAGTGATCAACCCTTACACTTATCGAGATTGTAAAATGATACGATCTGTATTTATTTGAATGCAGCAATTAAAAGTCATAAAAGCGAGTTTGGAGAGTAAAATTACTTTTTTGTTATTCTTCAGTAATTTAATACCCTTTTGCATCCTGAGAGAGAGAGAGGGAGGGGAGGGGGGGGGGGGCTCTGTTCTTTTTAACTGAACTACACAACTTACTTTTTCTCTTTTCCTCGCAACGCAACGTGGAAAAGAAGAGAAGAGGTGAATCGCGCAAAAAGTTTAGTTAAAAGATACAGAGCTAGCTTATCTTAAATTTTTTTTATGAAAAATGAGCAACTAAGTAATTACATGTGTACACTTGAAAGAGATTTTTTAATAATTTGTTCGTACTTGGAAACAAGGTAATTAAGAATTTTAAATTGACTGGTGTCACGATGTACTGTTTCAGGTTTGTTAGAACTTTAGTTGCAAAGCATACTATTCACAATGACGGAGTATTGGTTGATTTCCGCGCCTGGAGACAAAACCTGTCAGCAAACGTGGGAAACTATGAACAATTTAACATCCAAGCAGCATTCTCTATCGGTGAACTACAAATTTCACATTCCGGATCTGAAGGTCGGAACGTTGGATCAATTGGTTGGCTTGTCAGATGACTTAGGCAAACTCGATGGATACGTGGAGCAAGTAACGCGTAAAGTGGCAACGTATTTGGGTGAGGTACTGGAGGATCAGAGGGACAAGCTACATGAGAACCTGATGGCCAACAATAGTAAGTAGGAGAAGTAACTCGTTATCTTTTGGGCCTTTATATTCTTTTGACAATATTGTCCATATGATGGAGGATTCAATTGTTTATTCAGGGGTCCAAACCATTATCTGTATTCATTTTTTTTTTCATTCAATCAATTTTATATTTATCTTGATTGTTAAGCGATATTTAATCTAATAATCTATAAAAGAACGCCAATTCCGTTTGTGAATAAATATTGTGAGATATTATTTTACATTTATTTGGATAATTCAAACTTATATTCTCGATCTTGATGGAGAATAGAAAACAGTATATACGCTACACTAGAAGATGCTAATTCATAGAATATTGCAATCCGCACTATTCAAAATACTGTTTGGATAAGTGTGCATTGCGTGTGTTATCTGTGATTTGATCAAAAGGATTATAGAAATAATTTTACGAATTATTATTGGTAAAAAAATATTTTGGACCCTTGCCAACAGGTATCGATCGATTGTCTATGCATCATTTTCTTATAACGCTCAAACTTAGAATAATACAGTCTGTTGATTAACTAACGCACCAATGAATACTATACACGACACGAAACATGCACACTACTTCGAGTACTACCTTTTTTGTCAATGATCTTTGATACCTATCAGTTATAATTACTCCAGATTTTACTTGATTTTTTGGAGATAATAATATAAGTTCACATTTAGAGAAGCATAATCCCCGTTTCTCTCCATAATGCCCCGTACCGTAGTTTGATAAAATGAGATGACAATTTTGTCTGTATACACAGACAGTACGTACAAAAAATATGATATGTTGCATAATGTTAGAACATTTTGCATGTTGTTTTAATAGTTTAATTAGGTGAATACAGACAAAATTTTCCTGTAGTATATATGTATTAACATATATGTGTATGGTGCATATCAAAGATTGAGAATAACTATTTTAAACCTTTTTTATATTATCTATTATAGATAATATCAAATAGTTACATGGTTAAAGTAAGATGATTTGCAATATATTTTTTGAAATAACGAATACTTTAATACATACTCTAATACTTATATATTTAGTTATAAAAGATTACCTACAAATGTGATATGCTTCATATAATAGTACATATCTAGTTGATATATTCGTAGAATGCTTATTTATGTGTTTGGTTGTTTCCGTTTATTATCTATGACAGTCTTATTTTTAAATTTGTGATGTCGCTTGGCTTACTTTTTATTTAACTTTGACCACATTAACCCTGTTTCCCCACCCTTTTTATTATTTTATTAATAAATACCCGTATATATATGCACTACGCAAAAGTTATTAAGGTATAAAGAAAAAAAAAATGCGTCTCGAGACACGAATAAATACACAAGATAACATATAAAAAAGGACAAACGAAACAAAATATGGACAGATTTGTGGAATTATCGGACCACACACGTGTTGGATAAAATTTTCCGCAGGACGCAAGAGATTGCTTGGGTTACTGTGGTCACCAAGCTCTAATTAGCCACTACAAGATTTCATTTTCCTTGGTTTTGTTATCATCAGTCCTTTTATATTACTATCTGTTTGCGATGCACCATATAATTTCAAGTCACGATGACTGTTACTTCTTTACTTTCCAGTATATACATTTCGTGAATTTTATCAATTATATTCTCTCGAATATCCTTTTTGTTGCTTAGTTTTTCTATTTCGTCTTTTCTACTTTATTTTTGCAGTATATTGGAGTATTTAACGTTTAATAAGATGATTAATACGAGAAATCATACTTTATATTTTATGTATATTTTAAACAAAAAATTTATATATTTTAAATTCTTTTCTGAACATATTCAAACTAATGTATAAAAATTATGATCGTTCACATAAAGGAGAAAGTTTTTGATCATATACATATATAGTATATAATTTACACATAAACCACCTAAATTTTAAATATCGTAGAAGGTTATTTAAAGTATACGTGTTAGGTGATGCATTAAATTGTTTTGCAATGTTATTCAACATTGCATCGTTCACTTTAGAAAAGATTGCTGCTTATCCTTTTATGTCTAATACATACATTTTTTAATACATCAGTTGAGTTTGATATTAAATTATCATTGAAACTCAACATTTAAATCTGAATTTCATCGCTCAGATTGGTTAAAGTAAGACGATTGACGCTAAATACTCTACATTTTCTTCTCTTGAGTTATTTTTCATTCAGTTTCGTCAGCATTGTCGTTAGGCATTTGCGTAGGAGACAATAATAGTTGAGCAAGACAATAAAAAAGATCGCGTGGAGATTGGGACTGGGCTGTAATGGATAGGTCAAACATCAATGGATGGGGAGAGCTCGAGCCCCGAAGGGGGTCCGGACACCCCGCCAAACACCCCTGTTACACCATCACACAAGACTACGATGGAGCATCACAGGCAGTGGAGGGAATTGGACAAGTCCGAACCAGAGACGGCCGCCTGTTTAGGTCAGCATCATCACCAACGTCATCATTGCCACGACCATCATCATCACCATCATCACCATAGCTCCCATAAATATCACCACGATGGTCATTTCTCCATGTTCGAAAAGAAGCTGTCGTACGATCTTCAGGGCATCTGTGATGCCAAAGCTCAGACCAACAACTATGCCTCATCGATATATTCTTGCTACCATACCCATTGGTGCGTTGCTTCTGTACCCTCGACGCCGCGCTCCAGTCCCATTCCCGCGAGTCCGACCCTCTCTTCCCTCTCATCGAACTGTAGCAGCGAAGGGGAGTTTGGGTGGCAGCAGCCGTTACGTCCGCGGACCACCACTGAGAAAGATCCAGATCGATCTACCCGCAAATCGGTTGGAGGTGATGATGACGACGACAATGACGATGCGGATCAAAACAACGACCAAGACCAAGACCATAGTGGCAATTTGCCGAATCCAGGTACCCATCCTGCCACTGCCAGCCGATACGAGATCCTTCTCCTTTTTGTCCTCCTCCTTGATACATAGCTGCAAAGCTTTGTTCATCCCGTGCACCACGTGTCTCGATGATCTAGCGACTGAATCATTATCATGTTTTCTTGAGAAGTAATTGCAGGAAAATTAAAAAAATAGAGAGAAAGAGAGAGAGAGAGAGAGAGAGATTGTCAGATTAAAGATACCTATATTATTATTATTTTATAATTTTCAGGATGATAAAAACACGTTTGAAAAAGTCTGAAAATAAATGTAAACACAGAAAATAAACTATTTATTTTAGTTTCAAATTCCACTACATAGTAAATACAATGCATTTATACTTTAGTTATTTCTTTAAATGTCAATTTTGTGTTTTACATATCTCTATATAAATACATATGTATTATTATAAAATTTTTATAAAATTATGTATAACTCTATACATCTTTCTAATTTTAATAAGGAGGAATTTATTGTTGTTTTTCATATTATTTTAATTAAAAAATTACTATGTTTTAATCGTAATATATTTTTATTATATAAATAAAAATATAAAAAACATAATTTTTTAGTAGTAAGAAAACGGCAAAAATATGTGACAATATCTCTCTTTTGATAAATATAACAATATTTGAAATAGAAGTAAGACATTTTTTTCGAGGTGTAGTAAAAGACTTTACTAACAATTTACTGATTGAATTTATTTAATGAATGATAACAAACCGGAAGCTATTAAGGGAAAAAATTCCATAGCACATGATGATCCTAATTATGATGTGTGAGTGTGCATATCTTTATTTCACAATTTTCTTCAAGAAATTCCGTTGATATATCTTTGATTTTTGGCTCGTTTGTCTTCACTCTTCCCTCCTCTATATTGGTTATGTATAATTATATTATAATTTTACATAACCGTTACATATTAACGTATAAAAGCTCGATATCTCATTTTTGGTGGATCGATTTGCATATTGTATATATCTGTTATCCACCAGATAATTCAGCTTCTTCTCCTAATTTTGCTTTTCTTTATTTCTCTACAGCTTCCACGTATCGCTTTTGCATTTATGAAGTACAGCAACTTTTGTTAATATAAAATAAAAAATATATATTTATATACATTTGCTATCATTTATGTTTAATATCGTTTACGCACATATGTAGGACATGACTGAAATAAATCTAGGAAAGCGAACGACATAAAAAGGAGAAATGATGAGAGAAATGTTATTTAACACTTAAATGTACCCAAAAATCTTTTACATATTTTTATTCCATTCCAATTATTTCATCCTAAATTATATTTTTGTTCTCCTAATATTAATCTTTAATTCCTATTTTAATAATTATAATTTCAGTAAAAGAGTCACATTATAAGCACAGACGATAATACATATACAAAACAATGGTATTGTAGATAGCACAGATCACAGCACTAGCACAACAATAGCATTGGTAGAAATAAATATTTATCGATCGGTACATGAATTTATAATTAATACTTTGCATGATTATTAGAATAAAACTTAATAAGAAACAAATGCACTTTATAGTTCTCATATGTAATTTATATGCTCTTATATAGTATAAGAGCTACAGGAATTATGTCATATACCTATATAAATCTTAAATTAAATATATATATTGTATATATTATATATATTTAAAATTTAAGATTTAAGATAATGGAACTGCAGATAATGTACTATTACTTACGTTATTATTTTATACATGTAATAAATTGTCATTTCTTTATTTGAGCTATTTGGCTTATTTTATTATATTGCATTATGTTGCACATTAATTTGCGATGGCTAATCATATATGTTAATAATAAAAGTCTACATATACACCTGTGAGGAAACGTGCAGAGAAAGGTATATTAGTTTATACTGTTAAAATACAAATTCTCGAAAAATTTTGTGACTTAGATATCACTATATTTAATACTTTTTTCTCGAATGTACATATTTTTCAATACAAACGCATATTCGCATTATGCTAAAATTTCTTTAAATTCATTGAATATATACGAACTAAAACGTAACTTTACTCAAGAATATATGTATAAGAAAATAATGCAGATAATTGCGAAAAAGAATAAATTATATAATTAATTATTTTCTACACACAATATTAATATACGTAAATGTTTATAGGTACATGTGCATGTGTAATGTGAGGATTTATCTTGTCTAATTAAATCAACACACAAATTTTTGTGTAATTACAATGTAGTTAATAAGATGTAGTGATAAATGCGAAAAACAATACGATTTTTCAAGATATTGCTAAGATCTGCATGTACAAATATATACAAATATAAAAGTTATTCATTACAAAGAGATTATTAAGTAAAAATTTTATTATTACAGTTACAATTTATCTTTATTAGACATTTCTGCATTATAAATATTAACGTAAAAGCAAAATTTGGTGTGAATAATATGAAATAATTATACATATTTTTGTAAAAAGGATTTCTTATATATAAATAGTATAAAGTTTGTTTATGAATTTGGTTATTGTGGATTGCATGATGTACTCTGTGTATGTCCTGCTTCTTTCCTGTAATGCTAATGATGAATAAGCAGCATTGTAAAATCAAGAAGTTGTTTGTGTGAAAATCATTTTTTCTTTTTTTTTTATTTTAAATATTCTTTTAATAACATTATTTCAAATAATGTTTGAATTTATTTATAACAAAAAAATATATGTCAAGCATTTGTATATGTTAATAATATATGCAGAGTTTAAGAAATACATCAATATTTTGTTTAAGAAATTTCTTTAAAATTTTACTAAATCTTTACTAAATCTATAAATCTCATTTTTATATACTATAAATCTATAGAGCTTACACTTGCTATTAATTATGCGCTGAAAAATATAGAAATATTTTCTAAAGCTCTGACTTGAAATTGCTTATCAAGATTTATATATCATCTCAAAACAATTGGATTAATATTTAAAATTTACTAGGTGATCTGCCATCATATATAACTCGATTCCAGTGGGACATGGCTAAATACCCCATCAAACAGTCTCTGAGGAATATTGCGGATATTATCAGTAAACAAGTGGGACAGATTGATGCTGATCTAAAAACTAAATCCACAATATATAACAATTTGAAAGGCAGCTTACAAAATTTAGAAAAGAAACAGACGTAAGTTTGATATATTTTGAATTGAATGTAATTGTGTAAATGTCACTATGTAATTTTTCATCTGTACTAGGGGGAGTTTATTAACACGTAATTTAGCAGACTTAGTAAAGAAAGAACACTTTATTCTGGACAGCGAATATTTAACTACTTTGCTTGTCATTGTACCGAAGTGAGTAAATACATTTACAGCTTTCTTTTTGACACATATGCTAAAAATAGATAAGAAGTTACAGAACTCTTAATATTCGAAATACAATATGTTATAAAGTTGTCATATATTAGATCGTTGAATCAAATAAACTGGCATCTATGTGTATCTTGTGCTTTTAGATCCAACTTTCAGGAATGGTACAGTTGTTACGAAAAACTGACAGATATGATTGTACCGCGCAGTACACAACTTATTACTCAGGATTCTGAATACGGATTATTCACAGTTACTTTATTTAAAAAAGTAATGGATGAGTTTAAATTGCACTCTCGTGAAAAGAAGTTTATTGTACGAGATTTTACATATAACGAAGAGGAATTAGCAGCAGGTTTGTTATAATATTGAAATCTTTTATAATCTGCTTAGGACACACACGTAGTAATAGTTTAGAATGAACATAAATTTGATGTATTAAACATCTTTAAAAGCTAAGTCATGTCCAAAGAATAAAATTTATCATAATATTACGTCTCATCACAGGAAAGAATGAAATTACGAAGTTGGTAACTGATAAAAAGAAGCAATTTGGACCACTTGTCCGTTGGTTGAAAGTGAATTTCAGTGAATGTTTTTGTGCTTGGATTCATGTTAAAGCTCTGCGTGTATTTGTTGAATCCGTTCTTAGGTATTGTACATATTAATATATTTTGTTGAGAAAAATATAACAATATGATATTATATGTTACATATTTTAATATATATGATTTATAGATATGGCTTACCTGTCAATTTCCAAGCAATATTACTGCATCCGCATAAGAAATGCGCGAGGAGATTACGTGACGCTCTAAATCAGCTTTATGCTCACTTAGATTCATCTGCTACCGCTTCAACAGCGCAACACAATCAAGATGTAAGTAATTTAAATAAAGATATCGTAATTACTGTATTGTATTATTAAAAGTAAAGTAATATTTAATCATAATTTTGAAACTTTATTCTTGTCATTTTTGTAAATAATATTGCAAAAGTAATATTATTAAATAAATATTACTTTTTAGAATCAAAAATTTTAAATGTCTATTATATATATGATATATATATATATATATATATATTATATATATATATACGAGATTAAAGAATATATGATTTTTTTATGCAGAAAGTACTTGTATTTATATGATATTTTAATTTGAATAGAATGTGGATATACCAGGACTAGGTTTTGGCCAAAGTGATTATTTCCCGTATGTCTATTACAAAATCAACGTGGATATGGTTGATAGTAAGGTTTAATTAGAGTCCGCTTTTTTCTCCCGAACGTCGTACTTCCTTTTATTTATCCAGATGATATAATTCTGTTACATCAGGAATCTAGTGGCAGGTGCGTACAAGTTCCTCACTTGTATTAATATGTAAAAAGAATACTGCATTTCCAGAAAACTTGTTTCGATTTTTCCGTAGCGATTACGTTTAATAATTATGAATCGCGTAATTTGCTACAATTGAAGAAAATTGTCACATAGTCTTTTTCAAAAATAGTTATTTTTCTAAATCGATGAAATTAGAACAATGTATAAACTGTAATATTGCTCGGAACTATGCATAAGAGTTTGTGCATTCCTTTATACATATTGCTCCCAAGTATTAAACATAAATCAATTGAAGTTATAGATGATAATAAGGATTCTCAGGCAAATATCATTAATTGTATGCTTTCGACTTGTATGTCTTCTTGATATACTTGGAAACAGCACAACATATTTTACACGTTATTGCGACATAAAAATGTATAGCGTTTCTAAATAGAATTGCAACAATGCAATTTTATTATCCATTAATCTGTTATATATAAAGGTAAAAAGCTGATCTTTTCATTAATGTGTAAGAGATCAAGACTTATGAAGAAAAAAAATATATATATTATATATATACACACATCTTGTTACATCATGTAAAAAGCATTCACAAGTCATGTGAATATTTAACAAATTGTTAATCACAGTTTAGAAAAAATGGATATCTTATTGTTGAATATTAAGAGAAGTTTCATGTCACGTATTCTTATAGTATATTTTATTGCTTCAAATAAATTTATTAACTATAAAAACATGTTTCATATACGCGTAATATTTGCAGATCATATTATATCTGTATAGAAAACTAATGTCATAATGTCGAAAGTCTACGAATTTTAATATATCACATGAACATTTAATTGACGCGAGTACATATATACATATTATAATCGTCATCCAGCCTAAATATTTTAACAGATTGAAGGTATTTTATCCTACCAGCGAATTTATCGAAAAAAGTAAACTGACTTATAAAAAAGTTTTTCAAATCTCTCTTTTGTAAAATTCAAGTTGCAAGAAAATAATCGACTTTTTTATATTATCTAATGTAAGATATAAACTAAATTCCGTTGAGTCGTGTGGCTTCGCGGCGAGACGGTTGCTTACCAATATGGACGATTCGAATCATCCATATTAGCAAGTGACCGTCACAGCGATGGGAACTTAATTTGTATCTTATACTAATATAAATTCATTATTGATTGTAATTACTAGAAAATGCAGACTATATATTTTTAATCAATTGTTCCATTTGTAAGTTAAATTATTTTTTAGTTAGCACCGTTACAAACTGCACAAAATGAGTCTCTTTTTTGTGAATATATTGTATTAAATTATAGACATATATCATAAAGATATATTTTCTGAAGAATAATTTCATGTTGTTAAAACAATTTAATTTTTCACACTGATCATAATGTAAATTGCTTGTACATAAAAAAAATCCATGTATAAAGTCCATGGTTTCATATTATATTTTAAGTTGCAAGATTGTGAAATGCAGACCAATGTACAATGTTTTAATTAAGCATACATCACACTAGCGAAAATCGATGACAATACTGATTAAATGTTGTCTGCTCCATAAGTCTACATAAAGAAGCCTGGCATATAATAAAAATGGAAAACTAATATATATATGTATATTGGCAGTTCAATTATGTAGATACGTTTAAAGAAATGATAATACAGTCAATTGACTTTTACGAATTGTATAGGTAAATGTAATTGTGTAGATAATAAATATTAAGTTTACTTGTCAGCATCTTTTGTTTATACGCTCGTTACTAAATGTCCAACTATGTAATACCAATCTAATCCTTTCATCAGTCCTTTGATTTTTTGCATTTGATCATGTAAGCATATGTATGTAATTAGATTAAATGGAACTGCAACTCTATGTTTAGATGCTTGTACTACCTAATTGCAGTACAACAAATACATACTTATCCCGATAAAACGTTTTGTAGAATGTGAAAGGTAAAGTACATAGAATTACAACAGTATATATAACATACTTTTATGTAATAATTTTATAAAAGCTAATTAGCGATTATAAAAGTTATATTGTAAAATAAATTGGTTCTTTATATAAAAGTCCTCTGTATGAATAATATTCAGATTTCTGTGCGCTTGAAATATATAAGAATTTTATAAAAACTTTCATTGAAATCTTACATACTTGATACTAGTATAGTTATGATTATATATATAAGCATGGTTTCTCTTCATTGTACTTTGCAAGCAAAAGCTTTACTTCTTTACAGTCACATTGCTGCTCTCAATCAAGTTCTGAAAATTATTTACTGCTTTCAATTAAATTCTGAAAATTATTTCTCTCAGTACTGTTCTCTAGTATGTATTTAGAAAAAATATCTCCATAGTATTTGTATGCACAAATGACTCCTAATAACAAATATTACCTTTAATTTAAAAATATCCTGCTCCCAATCTCCACAGTCAATGAGTTTCACTGCCTCTAGTAACACATTTGTTATTTTATCAACATTTTGCTTGAACACAACTAATACGTCAGCTGCATGAACATTATCTTCGCATTCTCTCCAACAATCGTAATCGGTCGCCATGGCTATAGCTGCGTACAAAATACCTGCTTCTTTCGCTAGGAACACCTAATTTGGGCCAAATAAAAATATTATACAATATTTTGTATGTGCACATATGTTTGTGTGTGTGTGTGTGTTCATAATATTTAAACCTCTGGGCATATAGTCATGTTGACCAAATGTCCACCCCAAAGACGCAGAGCGTTACTCTCTGCTTTAGATGAAAAGCGTGGTCCTTCAATAGTTATTATTGTCCCACCCTTCCTTATGTTGTATCCCAACTTTTTTGCGGCTTGCAACAAGATTTCCGATGTTCGCGGATCAAACGCAGGCTCCATCGGCAAATGGCATACTCCTGTAATTTCGAATGAACGTTAAAAAAATTATACTTGTAAAAAAAAAAGAGAAACGTGATATACTTACCGCTATACTTAGCAGATGTTCCATCATAGAACGTACCCTTCCTGAAAGTAGTTCTATCTATGAAACTATCAGGCACGACTAATTGTCCCCTAGCGATAGACTCTGTTAATGATCCACATGCAGTAGATGCCAATATATGGGTACATTTAGCAAGTCTTAATGCTTCTATGTTAGCACGGTAATTAACTAGAGTAGGACTGAACACATGTCCTGCACCATGTCTATATTGAAAAAATATAATACCAAGATATTTTTATCAACAAAACATGAATCAAACATCGTTAAATGAACAGAAATGTTTTTTTTTTTTGTAGTAAAAGGCAAAATAGTTATTAACACATAAGCCTAGATTGCATGTTTTAGAAGTAGACAAGAGTCAAAGGATTTACAAAGAGTTCTACCTAGCCAATAGCACTATATCTACTCCATCGATACATCCATGGTAGAGATCACTGGATGGATATCCGAAATCATTCTTTGCATTCTCGCGATTTGTGGTCCTGCTGCAATTGAATGTTTTACTCAGGCTATCACCCAGACCCGAGCCACATATTATTCCCACCTGAAAAATATAAAAAAATATTAGTAAGAATTCTACATACATTTAGATTTATATTGCATTTATATTAAAGAATTACACTTTTATTGTACTTTTATTAGAATTACTGTTTAACATACACTTTAATATACATATATATTAATTACTACATATCACTTTTGTGATATGCAAAGAAATTTTTATCGACATTTTCATGCTATATGTCAAATTTAATAGCATAATGTAGTACACCACAGATATATGTTTCCAGTGATTTTCAAAATCAACCTTAAATATCTTCGAGGTTAGTCAAATAATTAAATAATTAAAAAATAGTGTGACATATGTGAATCAAGAATCCAGAAATTCTCTTTCAAGTGATTGATCAACGTATTTTTCTAAAGTGTGTAGATTAAAATTAAATTTCTCTTACCTTGATTTTACTTGCCATAGTGAAAGATATTCGATTTATTATCTTGAACTTGCGCGCAGTTACTTGGAAAATTCGAGGATGATAAATATGCGCGTGACCGTTAAGGATAGATAATTATCGTGACGATGTGCTACTTATAACCTCTCTTTCCTGCAAAAATACTACGACTTGTGTAGCTACGGCGATAAGTCTTCTTAATAAGAATTATGTAATTATAGTATACACATTAAATTTATCTTTTGAATATGTTTCTGATGGTTTATATTTCTCAATTATAAGAACAGAGAAAAAACTTGATCTATATAATAGAAGAAAAAGTTGGAATAAAAGTTTATACTTTTTTAATTGTCTTACTTTTTTTTTATAAGTATCGACAGATAAAAGTTTATCTTGCACAAATCAAATTTTTATCTCTTCTGGGACATGTTTTTTCATCACGCGTGCCTATATAAATTAATGCATGTATATACCTATAATAGTATTTACATATATATTGTGTCGGTTAATCGGGTATTTCGTCAGCTTCTCTCTCGTATTTTCCTTTTGTCATTCCGCATTTCCGTTTTCCACCATGTTGCGTATCATAATGTGTATTTTATAATATATATTAATCTAAATTCTATTCCATATACGATATGAAACATTTAAGAAATTTTTTATAAAATATTCTGAAAATATAATAAATATATCCAGGAAGTCAGAGTTTTTGGAATATATTCTTTTTCTTACAACATTAAACAAATATTTAAAAAAGATTTTATTGAAATATTTCCAAAAATGATTATTCACGCAAATATCTCATCACGCTACATCTGGGATAGAATCGCAGTTTGGCGAAATCGCCAAAACGAATCGACCGTTTTCAGTGTACGGAGTCACGTGTTACTCCATGTGGCCGCAAGCGCTCAAGTTCGCTTGTAAGTAGCGCCATCTGGTCGGCATGAACTCACCTACGTGAACTACGTTGTCGTTGATTGAACCCGTCAGTGAATCAGCTGATCTCCTCGCATTACGTGGAACGGAATCAGCTGTGTGCGACATGGAGGAGCTGGTGAGCGAGGATGTCGAGATACCGGCCGTCAAATACGAGTGTGAGTATGTCGATCGCGGCTCTTATTCTACATATCACCGTTCCGTTGGAATTTTTCTCGAAAATACCTCATCCGTCGACGTGTACCTTGGCGCGTCTTCGCGCGCGACGGATTCTAACCTCGTAATCGCGAGACTGACGTAAAGTTTGCCCGAGTATAACGCGAATCTTTCGCAGCCACGGTCTGACAAATATTTACGGAGAAATCCACGGTTCTTCTGTTGCAGATCTGGATCACACCGCGGACGTACAGTAAGTATTATATTCGTTGTAAAATAAAGTCGACCGGCGTAGTCTTGAAGATTACTTCGCCGGCTAACCTAAAAAAAAAAAAGCGCGCGAGCAATTGTGCCGAGATCGATTAGGCGTTTAAAAGTTTATTTGTGATGAAGGTCGAATATGCAAATCATCGATTGTGTCTCAGATTGCACTCATGGGGCGACACTATGGACGAGGCTTTCGAGCAATGCGCGATGGCCATGTTCGGCTACATGACGGAGCTCGAGCGCGTGCAGATCACACAGGTGCATCACATCGAGGCCGAAGGTCACGACATGGAGAGCCTGCTCTATCACTTTCTCGACGAGCTGCTCTTCATGTTTAGCGCCGAGCCATATATAGTCGCCAAGGTATAATTTCTTTGTTGTATAAACGTGATCAATATAGATATACCATATGCTAATGATTTACTATTACCTCAATAACGGCAACATTCAAATTTTTATAATACATTATAGGGATATACATGATACATTACATAATTATATAATTTGTATATGAATTTATATATTCTACATGAAATATCAAAGACTCTCTTTTACCGTTATTTATTAAAAATAATATTACTATATATTAAAATTAATTCATACAATTATGACATTCTATTTACATGAATTTGAAAATATCGTCAAACAGTCCAACCTTTCAGTTGGACCGCGAACCTCGCGAAAGTTATCGCGTCGGCGTTCAAAAAGTCAATGATGAAAATCTCTCTGCACGTCTGTCGTCAGAAAGTCAAGATTACGGAATTCGATCGAGGAGGATTTAAAATCAAGGCAACCGCGTACGGCGAGGAGTTCACAATTGGCAAACACACGCAAGGCGCAGAGGTAAAGGCCATCACGTACTCGGCGATGCAGATCAACGATCGCCCGCAGGTGGAGCGGCCCGAAATCTTCGTGATCGTCGACATATGATATTACCCTCTCGGCCCGTCGATCGCCCTGCACACACATACCTCGACGATATTTTTGCTGCGCAACTTTCCGGTAATGCTCTAACAACAGTGGAGAAAGAGTAGTGGGGAAAAAGGGGGTCTACTTAGCTTGGACGGGTGGTTCGTGGAAAAAGTAAGAGGGGGGAAGGTAGCCGAAGGGCAAGAAGAGAAACCGTATGCCTCCCCTATGGTCTACATATAGGAGTGATCCTTTTGTACTTGCCCCGTGTAGGGTTCAAATAAATACGTTACGAAGAATGCACCGGGCCTCCCTTCTTCTTGGCTCGACTTGACTCAGGCGTGTATTAAGATCACCGGAACTCCCGGGAAAGCGCAATAAAAAAAGAGCAAGGGATTATCGATGTCATATACTGTGTATACGTAAAAGAAATTAATATTTTACTTATTTAACATTGTTATTTACAAAATACAATCAATACGATAGAGTCCTTTTACTGTAGTAGCTATTGCCTTTGAACTACGGTTCTCCTTTAGATTTCTCACTACACTCACTTTTTTTCATAATGATCACACACGAGAAAGCGAGAAAAGTACACAAAGTCACGGTTGATTACACGCGCGATGTTCTGCGTGCGTCATTAAAGTAAAGCCAATTTAAACTCTATCTTTAACGCTTCATTAACGTTTATAATATAATATATTTGCCTGACTAACGCTTTAGGCACGTACCCTCGATTGTATATTTCATTTATCAGCGGTAAAATGGAAAAATGAAAAAAAAAAATGATTAATTTCAAATGTAGGTCACACAGCTTTCCGTTGCTATTTATAGAAAGGTATGGTATCGTTAACGTTACTTCTTTAATGTTACACACGTTTTAAATCTATTGTACAGTCGTTCAATAGAATTGTATTGTATTGTATATGCATTATGCAACACGCGAGGATGTAAATTGTGATATAAACTCGATGGAAAACGTCGAAGAAGCAAGCCATTCTTATTTTCTGAGAAAATGATCCTGTCTAAAAATTATAATCCATTTCGTTTGTAACAAAAAGAGTTTGTAACGAAACTCCAGTTTTCCTATGAAACACGTACACCGTTCTAGCGTCTAATTTCGTGCGGTTGCATTGTAATAATGTTGTTACGCGCTCGAAACGGCGATCGAGTCACAATTGAGGGGATTGCGATCGTCGGCGATTAAATTCAAGTGACGGGAGTAAAATAAGATTGCCAACTTTTTTCCGACAAACAATTTTATTCCCGTCTTATCCATCGATATCCTTCGTTGCGCTCTCGACATTCGTCAGGAGGGGCCCTGCCGCTCGCCTTCCGTCCCGCTACATCCCTGCAGGCCGAATGCCCCTCCATTCGCGAAGGAAGGGACGATCGCCGGAGTTTCGGGCAAGACCAGGCAAGAAAAACGAGGGGCATCACACGGCATCAGTTGTCTCCGCGCGGCAGGCAGAATCGTCGAGAAGGCGGTCGAGACGCGTGTGCGCGGCAACGTAAGCGCTCGTATAGTTACGATCGTTGTCAAATTAATATACGTCACTAAATTGCATAATTCGCGAGTGTGTGCGCTGCCTGCGCGTAACGTCGTCGGTCGTCCCTCCGTCCCCCCCCCCCCCCCCCCACTCAGTGCCGCGAGGAGGCCTGGATTAAAGGGACCCGGTTGGCATTTCGAGAGAAAGGGACAGGAAGAGGGGTCGGGAGCGAAGGGGGAGGGGAGCGAAGGGAGAGGGAGGGAAAGGAAGGAAAACGAGAAGAGAGACTGGCTTTGCGTTCGCCAACACCCCCGAGCATGGCGGACCGGTATGGTGATACCGCGGTGTGCTCCGGAAACGCGGGAATCAGCGGGAATGCTCGCGAGTGTGCTGAAAGTGGATAACCGGTGCCGTGCAACGTCGTCGTCGGGGACGAGCGGTTGCGAGGATATCCCGCGGTAAATAGCCGTTCTCGCGAGGCTCGCAAGGCTGCGACGGTGGAGCAAGCCGGCGCGGCGGAGAGTTTTGGCGGGTAAACCGCGCCGCGCGGTCAGGCGAGGACGCGCGACGATCGGCGGCTTTCCCGTTGGCTGCCGGGGTTCCGGCCGACGATCCCGACGGAACGCGATGACCCGCGTGAAACGACGCGGGACGCGTTCGTAATCGCGATAATAGCCACATCGACGTTATCGAGGGGTTATCGTGCGCGCGCGCGCGCCGCATTACGTCAAGGTGTCTCATTAGGTAGCTTCGCTCGCGGGGATCAGCCTGTGGTGTGTAAATGTCGTGATATCATCTCGGGGGAAAAAAAAAAAAGAGGCTCGGTCATATCGCGGGTGAATAACGCGACACCGAAGAACCTGGTGGCGGCGGCGAGCGGCGGCGCGGGCGCGGAGCGACGGTTTTGGCGCGCGTATTTCAGCTGTCGCGCGCGACCGGCAGATGGCCGGTACGCCGGCTCACGGACACGCCGTCGACACGCACACGGAGAATCGACCACTGCCGTTACCGCTACGGCGAGGGTGCCGCCGCGCCGTCCTCGGTCGGAAGCGCGCGCACTTATGAAAGGCGGCGAGGAACGACGCGTCCCGAACCCCGTCTCGGTCCGCGAAAGTCGCGAGAGTGCCTCTCGGCCTGTCCCCGCCTGGAGATCCTGGGAAGATCGTCGCGACACTTCGACTACGCTATCCTGATTCTGGTAAGTGGAGTCCGTAGAGACACGTCAAGCCGCTTTAAAGTGTCACCTGTCGAACGCCGAGCGAGCCAGAGAGAGAGAGAGATAGATAGATTTCCATTGGTTGTCAAATGGAAACTCTCGTCGGTTTTTCCGGACGCGATCTTTCCCCGAGGATGTGCTACACGCGCGAAAGATGCAGCGAGCGCACCAACATCGCGACGTTGCGCGACTCGCGTTCACGTATACATTCAGAGAGACGAGCGTCATCGCGCCTCTCTCTCTCTCGCACGAGCTAACGGCTCGCGACGCATGCGTGCCGCGCGCTCGCTCGTCGCGTCCGCGCTTTTCCGCGCTCGCACTACGCACACACACCGCATACACGCGCCGGCGGCGGTGGCGGCGTCGCGCGACACGACGCGACGCGACGGTGCCGACGTGTGGTCCTCGCATATATATACACCCCGCACCGACACCCAGCTGGAGGGGGGGGGTCAGAGGAGGCGGCCCCCCCTCCCCCCTCCTCCCGCGTAGAGACGTTTGCGAATACGCACGGACACGCGGCTGATTCTCTCTCCCTCTCTCTCTTTGGCATCTCGCGGAGCACCGGCGCACGCGGCACACACTCGGTCCGCTTGTTCTACTCGTCGTCGCCCGAATCGGCCAGTCGTGCCAGCGCGCCACGGTGCCCGGGCCCCGTCCACAACACAATCCAGTCGAAAGAAGGAGCGAGGCGAGCCTACACCGCGATCCTCTCGCGTGCCGAGCCTCGTATACGTGCACGCGCGCGACGCAACGAGTAGAACACGCATAGAAAGAGAGAGAGAGAGAGAGAGAGATTCGTTTCTCCTTGCTCGCCGGCCTCCTGGTCGGTCTGTGAGTCGAGCCGAGCCGAGCATGCCGAGGCGGGGCTCGCTCTAAGGTCCGAGCCACGCCGTATTCCGCAGCCAGAGTGAAAAACGAAACGGTCCCCGCGATCCAGCGTATATTTTTTTCCTCGGACAACGAGCAGCACACACCCTTTCGTCGTTCGAGGAACCGCCTTCGTTCGTCTGTGCGTAGCACGTAATCGTGGCGGATCGCGCAGAAAATGGACACCGTACTCTAGCAGCAGCAACACTCGTAAAAACGAGCGTTGGCCTCGAGAGAGAGAGAGAGAGAGAGAGAGAGAGAGAGAGAGAGAGAGAGAGAAAGAGAGAGTAAGAGGGAGAGAAATCGCGCCGAGAGTATGTAAAAGTCGCAACGAGACGAGGCGAGGGCGAGAGCGACGGTTAGCAGCCACGTCGAGGGAACCGGAGGGAAAGGGTGAGCGAAGCGATAATCCCGAGGTACACACCTCGGTGGTGATATACGGGGGGGGTCGACGAGGAAGGGCAGCACCACACGTTCGTTCCCGTCCGTGCGGTGTTCCTCCTACTCTGTTAGCGAATATCCTGTATCTATCTGTCCTCCTTCTCGAGTGCCGGGATCGAGGAGAGATTTCCACCCGGACTCCCGAGAGATGCCCGGCTCCGACCGTCCTGAGACGCGCGCCGCGTGCCGCTCGCTGGCCTGCTGCTGAATCTTCTCCCGGAAGAGAGAGAGAGCGAGAGAGAGAGAGAGAGAGCGCGGGTCTCCGTCTCAAAATACTGTGCGGCGCGACGCACACGTTCCGCGAGCAGCCAAGTAAGTAGCAAAAAATCGGGAGCGAGCCGAGAGGAAGAGGGACGGACACGCGCCAGCACTCCTCCGTCTCTCTTTCTCGCCCGAGATCGTCATCGGCGGCGGCGGCTGTTCCGCGACTTCCTACGCGCAGTTTTACGCGCGCTCACGTCTGCCCTTCCTCGCCGCGCCGCGCCGCGCCGGTAAAATGCGCGGAGTTTCGCTTCGGCCGCAGGATGCGTGTTCGCGCGCCGCTCCTTTGTACGACGTGCCGGCGACGACGCACCTTACTAGAGATCTCGGCTCTTTAAATGAGTTCGCCACGACGCGACGGCCTCACGTACGCGAGTATACGCGCGCTCGTGTGCGAGCACGCGTATCTCTCACCACCGATGCAGTGCGTGCGTGCGTGCGTAAAGGAGTGGGCGAGCGTGTCGGTGTGCACGAGGCCGTGACTTCGATTCTCGTTATTTACCAGCGATACGACGCGAGATCCTCGATCGCGTAAGGGTGGCGCGAAGAAGAAAAACGCGAGTGATCGGCCGAGAGGGAGTGATGATCGCGTGAACGGAGAGCTCGAACAGGCTCCTACGTTTTCGCTTGCACTTTGCACTCGGGGCTTCCTTCGTCCAATTCGACGTCGGTCGCGAAAAGGCGAAACGGGCGCAGACCTCGATTCTCGAAAACGAAGAATGATCGAAGCGCGCGATATTTGACAGTTCCGCCAATGGAGAGGCATCGATTCCCTATGCTCGCGCGCCATTGGCCGTTATCGCGCGATAACGCTTTTCCTCGCTCTCTTTCGAGAAGGAATCGAGAATTCTGACAATCGACGACGCGAGAACGCCGCCGGCGGCAACGCGTGGCCTTCGATCGATGTTAACAGCTGATTGCGCGCGCTATGTCGGACTAAGACTGTGGCACCACACTCGCCAGGTTTTTTTTTTTTTTTTGATAAGAGACGCCGAAGACTCGAAATAAAAAGAACGTATCTCGAGTGCTATCGCTCTCTTTCAACATTCGGAAGCTTACTGCTTTACTGTTTACTTGATGCATCGGTTAATACCAAGCTATATACATTTTTTTTATATACGTGCGTTTGTCAGACACAGGTACCTATGACATAAGTATAATTTAATACAAAAACGCATCTATGTTTTCCGACGCTTCTTTTTTCAGAATCAATTGATTGCTAAGTATAATTGTAAAAGAAAAATTTCGGCTTGTCAATCGTAAAGTTAAAGTCACTCTCTGAATCGTCAAGTACAAACGTTCAAACGAAAAATTCCCAGGACGCTGACGATTTGAAATCTTTATTGGGTATCACTGGAGATTATATAAGGACACCTTTAATCAATTATTGTATAAAGAATTATCAATTCGTTGTTGACGTGTGAAGGAAAAAATATAATGAGAATCAACGGAATACGCAGTTGACATTTTTGTTCCACGAGCAGTCTTATCGATTGAATCCAATCACTGATTATATTAATCGGTGTTCGGTCAAAGTCACCCCGAAGGGAGATGGCTGGACTGGTGTCGTAGGGCTCGCGACCCAAGACCTTACGAGAGGAAGAACGAAATAAAGGGGCAGAGAAACGGGGGTGAGGGAGGAGGAGGGGAGGGAAAGAGAGAGAGAGAGAGAGAGCCGGCCGGCCGGCCTCGTCACATCTGGCCGCCTGAAGCCTCGTGCACACGAGACACATTGCGCATTCGTTTGCATCTTCGCACAGCGGCGCACACGTCTCGTCGACGCCCGCCACCGCCGCCGCCGCCACCGTCGTCATGGTAGTGGATGGCGGCGGCGTTTCCTGTCTTCGACGCACTGGGGACCCCGGCGTTAGTGCCCACTGATTGTGGCCCGGCTGCGAACGCACAGCCTTGCCGGCGCCTGTATTATAGTAACCTCCGCGAGCTCGTTTGATCCTCGAGTGAGTGATCGTAGAGACTCTTCCTCGTGTTCTTCGTTCGTGTTCTCGCAACGTGAACACGTTTCCGGAATCGATGTTGGTGCGAGGCGTTCGTGTCGATTCTGCCAATGTGACTCCACGTCGAGGCTGACTTGACGGGGCCATCCCCGTGAGCAGCCAATAGGAAGGCAGAGATTTCAGCCTCAACGTCGAGATCGAGATGTATGAGGAAAATAGTTCGATGACGACGTTGTCGCGTAATTAAAAAAAACGCCGTTGTTTTTTCTTAATCGGTGTATCACTTTTACATCGAATGCAGCCGATATGCGCTGTGCGAGATGCTTTGTACTTTGGTTTCGAGTTAACGACTGCGGCCGGCCAATCGATGACTCCGCGTCGTGCATTGCTCCCAACCTTCCAAGCAGAAACCGTGATGCTATTGGTGGTCGAGAAATTCTAGTAGCTCTCACTAGAGTAGTGGTAGGTCGATGATTGTGTATCCGGCAGAAGACTCGAACTGGAGTCGCTCCAACTTTTATCGATGCTATTATATCAATTCTTAATTTGTTCTCTCGATTTATCTGTCTGCTAACTAAACTCTTGAATCAACATCTCTATATATAAAGTTGTTGAAAGCTTTTTTAAAGTTTTAAAAGTTATCTCGTTTATAGAATTATATAAATAATAAAGAAGAACTTTACACACATATACACATTTCAACCGCGCAATCGATTCATCTGAAGAGAAACAGATTTGAAAACCAGATTAACAATTAATATACGTTACGAAAATGTTCTGTAGTCCCTTTGAATAAATCACAAGCACCAAGGATGGGATATTTTCGAGACGCGAGCACCATCTCTTTAAATCACACCCGGAACGATCAGCTTGTCTCGGAATGCTTGTTCTTTTTTTTCTAAAATTCCCCGGGCCGAGCGCACCATGGGTCCCCGTTCGGAGTGTTCAGACGCATACCAAACGTTTGCTATGCGAAGCCCTTAAGTTAGCTTATTCGATTTAAATCATCTCTCGCGATACAATACTCTTGCTTCTCTTCTTAAATGCATTTGATTACCTATACTTGTAGACATCTCCATTTTTCGCAAGATATAATATATTTCGATAAAATATAAGATATGAAAAAATGATAATTGATTTTCTTTTTGTTTCTTCCGCAGAATAACTAACAGGAGCGAAGAATTATTTGTGTAATGTATCGAGTCTCGTATTTATATATATTGTTGTACAATTTCTAAATTCACCGAACTCTGTTCCCTTGCTCGATTGTATAACAATTTTATCGACGAAGGAGAAAAAGTAGCGCAATTATGCTTGAAGTGCTTAATGAATATTGCGCGGTCGAGTTTGCTGGAAATGTGGCTTGAGAATCGCACCTACTTATTTGTATTCAGTAAGTAAAGAGTCGTATACGTGACGACTACGATATATTTGCTCAGTGCAGATTCAGTGCAGACAAATCAATCTAAAGTCTATGTCGAATTGCGATTATTGACCAAGTGAAGAAATTGCTATTGGTCTCGATATTAAAGTCACACGTATTTTCATCACGTTACAATATATTCCAACTTGCGTAGACAAACGTTGCGTCTCGCGAGACGTACCGATGTGACATTTGCGTGATGTTTATACTGACGCAAACGTACTTACGCGAGAAATGACTTTCGAGAATGTATAATCTTCTTATTTATAGCTTCTGATGGGACATAAACGGCGTGTCACGTGTGTTCAACTTCAGTTGACACACGACAAACTAATCTGTAACCACGGGAAAAGTATCTCACGCGAATATGTCTACTTCAATCTTCCAAGTTACATATCCTGTATCTCCGAATCTGTTAGTGCATGTGAATTTGATTGGATGCACTCAGTGTAGACTGGTGCGCGTTAAAGCTGTCGTACACAAATTGATGCAGAAAGGTGCAGTATTTGATATAAATATAAAAGAGAATTAAAATGACTCTCTATGAAATCCTCAATACGTTTTATTGCGCTATTAAGTAAGAAATTTGCATTTTATTTGTATACCGATTAAATCAGAAGAAGAGAGGAAACAGAAGATTAAATCAGTATATACAATGACTTTGTATGCAGTAGCGCGTCCAACTGAATTCGCTACATCTTTCCCACCGTATAAAGTAAATGCGCGCGAATCTGTCTTATTTTTAGACAGGCGGAAAATAATTACACAACTGGCGGGAATCGAAGACATCGAGTCTTGATTGGGTATCAACGGTTAACGACTTTGGACTTATCAATAAAATACTTAAATAATATGATGAGGCGAATTTCTTCGTGCCTTTTAAATAAAGATAACAACGGGCGATCAGCTGTGCGCGGTTATTCAGAACGCTGAGAAATAATATTCGGAATCAGGAGGTATTCTCGAAAATGTCGCGTATGCGAGAATGTACGCAAAGTATACGTTATGTATAGATTTTCTTGATATTTTTATTTACGACCTTTTCGAGAACAAAACGATAATTTCGACAAGTTCCGACGGATGAAGATATGTGTGACTATATATATATGTGTACTAGGGTGTATCGAATTTTCGAAAATTTTACGGAGTAGCGATAAAACGATAGTTCAGTATGCACTATTCACGAAAATTGATACAAAAAAAATTAAAAAAAATATCTAGCATTCGCGCACGCGCCTCCAATACAGCGTTTTTTGACGTTTTTTTATTCATCTCTCCATAACTTAGTCATTTTTCAACTTTTTTTTTTTTTTTTTTTTAATTTGTGCCCAGAGTATGTACCTTCCAAACCCATATCACAAAAAATTTTTTGAAATTTTTCTGAGCCCTTGAAAAATCGCTAAATATGACCGCGTTTAATCAAATTAATGGTTAATAACACAGACCTGCGAAATTTCACTTTTGTCAGTTGAAAAATGACTAAGTTATGGAGAGATGAATAAAAAAAACGTCAAAAAACGCTGTATTGGAGGCGCGTGCGCGAATGCTAGATATTTTTTTTAATTTTTTTTGTATCAATTTTCGTGAATCGCTATATGATGCATTGTATTAAATTATAATTAACCATTAATTAGATCAAAAGTGGTCATATTTAGCGATTTTTCCAGGGCTCAGAAAAATTTCAAAAAATTTTTTGTGATATGGGTTTGAAAGGTACATACTCTGGGCACAAATTAAAAAAAAAAAAAAAAAAAAAGTTGAAAAATGACTAAGTCACGGAGAGATGAATAAAAAAAACGTCAAAAAACGCTGTATTGGAGGCGCGTGCGCGAATGCTAGATATTTTTTTAAATTTTTTTTGTATCAATTTTCGTGAATAGTGCATATTAAACTATCATTTTATCGCTACTCCGTAAAATTTTTGAAAATTCGATACACCCTAATGTGTACGTAATGTAATTATTTTATATTTAAAACATTTAGACGTCTGAACGAGATAAGATTTTTTTCCTTCTCTCTCTCTCTCGAAATTTGATATACGTGTGTAAGCCGGAATGATTCCTCAAGTTCAGTTTCATCCGAACTATTAGTAACTCTCCGGCTCGATTGGATCCTCTCTTCGCTTATCGAGTTCTATGTGTACATTAAACGGAGTCGTTCCGCTCTTCGTCGCGAGCGAGAATCGAATTTCCTTCAACACCATCGTTCGTCGCAGCGACTTTCATTGGACTCGGGGACGGGAGTCTCGTGTGCGTTCGACCTAAAGCACGGGCGCCGCGCAATCGGAAGATAGGCGGATAGAGAGAGCGAGCGAGAGGGAGAGAGAGATGCTAATATCGCACACGTAGCATTGCGGTGCTCGCGTCGCTCGTTATTATTTCCGTTATTGCCCGCACGACTTTTACACGGCCGGTGTGCGGACAGGTCGCGTCCATCCGACGCGGCGGGTCTCTTTTTCGTCCCCTCTTCCCGCGTGAGAACTGGAAGAAGCCTTGGGATTTAAAAATGACACTCGCCACCACCGCAGCCGCACGTGTAACGCACCGAGCTGGACGCGCGCGCGGCCAACGGCAGCGGTTAACGGCCGAAAATGAAGAGTGTGCTTAGAAATAGGTCCGTGCGCCGCCGTCATTGGCGATCCTTCCCTCGTGTACCGAATGGCCGGTCGTGTTGCACGGTAACGTCCGTGGGTTTCGTTGCTCTGATCGCGCCGCAGGAAACTCGTCGCGTACCGCCGGGACTCAACCTTACTGTGATCTCGGTCGAAATGCTCGATCGCGTCAATCTGTTGCGTCTCGCGTGGTCGAGGGTATATCACATCGGTATATCGCGTTTCCTGCTTGCTACATATACCTCTTGAATTTTATCTTTTAGTCTTCTCGATGTTCGGAAGTTTAACATTATTGCGTTTCAGGCAGCATGATTATTTATTAGGACGTAATTACGGTGTGTGTGGTTTTATGATCGAACAGTTGTATAATTTTACGTGTGTATAATTATTTCAGACGCAATCACATTACCAGGATGCCTCGGGTAAGGAGACAAGTGATCCTGGAGGATCCAGCCAGGCCAGTCACTCCAGACATGGTGGATACCAAGTTATGTAAGTCACACTTGCAGAAAGAAATATTCCACATTATTTTGTCGCTGTTAAACTTACTCGAACAATATCTTTCTACAGTAAAGTCTGAGTTTCTGGACGATGGTTCTTTGGACGAAATCCAACCTCCAAAGGTAGCGGAAGAAACACCAAGCCCTCATCTACAGGATCACCAGTATGGACAAACACCTTGCTACCAAATAACGAGAAAACCTACACAACCACCACCAAGAGCTGAGGTAAAAAATGATTGATGAGTGATGATGATAAATTGGTACTGAGGTAACATTTCTTATATAGTAACATTGACATATAAAAATATCTATGTTGATTCGCCCAAAGGTATTTAATTTGATTAAATTATTTGACACTTGACTAATCAAAGTTACAATTGCCTTCTCTCTCTTTTTGGTAGATATCGGTTCAAGCGGTAAAAAGAAGACTGAATTTGGAGGTAGGGACGACTGGTCCTAGCCAGTCTGCCTTCAAAACACCCAGAGGTAAACGCAGAAGATCTGGCTCGAATTCTTTAGCTGGTCATACACCCACCAAAAGTAAAATGTCTCTTCTGCTTTATGATATTTCTCTTAATTTTTTTTGCATGTCATTCAAGAAAGGAATCGATTGTTTCATTGCAGGTAAAACTGTAGAAAGGACACGGTATGACACATCTTTGAGTTTGCTCACAAAAAAGTTTATTCACTTAGTCGAAAGCAGTCAAGATGGTGTGGTGGATTTAAATGTAGCGTCGGAAAAGTTGGAGGTACAAAAACGTCGTATATACGACATTACTAATGTTTTAGAGGGCATTGGTATCTTAGAGAAGAAAAGTAAAAACAATATCCAGTGGAAGTAAGTTATCTACTAAGATATTGTATGTACAGTTTACATTTTATATCTGTACGTATAATCAGAGGTTATACTCGAAATATTAATTTTTCTTGTTACAGAGGCGGTCAGTTACCGAACAATCGGAACGATATCGCTAATCTCAGATGGGAAGTCGCGGATTTGGAAGCTAAAGAGAACACTCTGGACCGATTGATTCACGGTGCTGACAAAAACCTTCGCGAGCTCTGCGCGGATAGACAATACGCTTATGTAACGTATCATGATTTACGTTCAGTCTCAATGTACAAAGACCAAGTTATTATGGCTGTGAAAGCCCCGCCGGAAGCTACCCTTCATGTTCCACAACCGATCAATAACTTTGGTCAACAAAAGGTAAAGTATCTGTTAAGTTCGATATTATATATCATTTACATTTCAATTGCTCTCCAACATCTAGAGAGAAATAATTTTATATCTGATCAAAAAATATATTTACTGGGCGTTTTATATTCCCTTTGTATTAATGTTTTTAGCTTCAAATGCACATGCGATCGGAACACGGAGAGATAGATGTGTTTCTGTGTCCTGAGGATTCCACAGTTAAAACATCCTATCCTGGGTATGCGACAACGCAATCTGTGCCTCAATCAAAAGAATCCGATATACCTTGTTTGCCTCCTGAATTGTTGGCTAATCGAGAAAGTGACATACGAATCGAGCCAGTACCTTCCGATGAGAGTTTCATAAATACTCGTCTGTGTACCCCCGTAACTACAGTTACCAGTATAACGAGCATGAAGGACGCGTTCTTATGCGAATCCGATGATTATGGACCAATGGGCGGTGGCAAATTCCAACTCCAAACAGAGGACCAAATCAGCTCAGGTAAGAATGGAAGGAAATAACGCTTGTTTAGTTTGCTTTCTTTCTCTCTTGAAAAAAGCTTCTTTCATATTTTATATTAATGGCTGATCTAAATGTAATAAAAATTTTGAAATTGTAAAAGAAAATAAGTAGGAAAAATTATTTATTTTTAGGCTTTTTTTCAGTAAATTATTATTAATATCCTCTGTTTGTCTTTGTATACAATTTCTATTTAGTATGTCTTTTATTTTATTCACGCGAGGATATTATTTGTTTCATCTTTAATTTTATGAATTGTATGGTTTTTCTATCATTTATATTTAAAAGAGTCAGAAATATTCTCGTATAGATCATGAAACATTATTGATAATATTGTTAAACTATAAATTGAAATGCATATTTAAATACGTTATATCAGTTTAAGTATATTATAACAAATTTAAATATGTAATTAAATAAATAAAAAAAAATTATAGAAAATTGGGAAATTAAAAACGCTTTTATTTTTATATAATTTCTGTTATTGAATATATCAATATTTTATTACAAAATCTAGTAATGTATTATTTTGTAAATATATAATATTTTATTCCTTTTTATTTAAAATATATTCATATTTCTAATATTAAATATCAGTATTTGACAGAAATATTAATATTTAATTATGCGACAATACATTGAATTCATAACTAGCATTCTAATTTCTTATCGCAATTATATTGAATTATGGTATCAGAAAGAAATTCTTACGCGAGAAATTCTCTCTGTGCTATAAAATTAATTTTTTAAGTATGTTATTCTCAATGCATTTTTGATAGATTAATAGAATATGTCTTCTAAAATTTAATATTAAAGATTTCTTGATGTATCGATTAATAAATAGTTTTTTATCATATATCGTTTTCACAAGAAATTTGAGATATAAATTATAGATATAAATTATATATGCGTTTATTAATGCAGGATAACAGAGTAGAGTTTCCAATACTTTATTTCAATAAAGTATGAGAGAAAAAACAGTCTTAATTTCTAGTATTTTGTATATATTTATAATTCAATATTTCTATTGATATTTTAAATATACATTGCTGTGTGTGTTATCTTATTGCGTATTCTGTTTTTTCATTGAATTCTTATTTATATTTTATTTCTGCAAAAATTCTAATGCTTCAATTAGTTTAATGCTTTAAGTCTTGTATATAGTTGTATTTTTTTTAATAAAATATTTTTGAATTTTTTTTTGTCTTTGTATTACTCGTACTAAAACAGATTCCGATTTATTAAGCGTTCTTTTCATATAACAAAAGTTTTTACAAAACACATATTATGAGATAAATGTCTTACAAAATTGTTATATCACATCCTTCTTTATTTGAAAAGAACGTATTGCATGTATTACAATATAATAATCACTTGTGGACGTAAATATTATTCAAAAGAAAGGTAGAGGTTAAATATTTCCTTGTAATTCCTTAATAACACATATTGCCTTTCTTTTGAATATTTCACTGTCTTTTCACCAATGGATGATGGCCGTACCCTGATGGAGCTCTGGCTGTGACTTGTGTTAAAATTATTAAAATCACATCACAGGCAGAGTTCTAGTTAGGTAACGGTTTCAAACAGCAAAGCTCGTGTTGTGTAAAGGTACGTTTATCTATACTAACTATTGGCCTCTATTATGTTTTATATGATGTTGCTCTATGTTAATATTATCACAATACATGGATGCAAGATACGTTTAAAAAAAAAATTCTTTTCACACATAACTGTCTCTGAAAATTCTTCAAGGGAAACATATATAATTTCGAAATCAATATGATTGACCCAAATTTTGCAGCACTTCTTTATTTTGATTTCACAAATATCAATTTTCTTAGATAATTAAACGATCTATTACAGAGAAACATTGTTGAAACTAATAATATGCAGTGATTGTACTCTTTGTACCGCTTTGTAAGTTATTGCAAATTTTTTAAATAAAATAAAATGCTTATATGATGCATCACAAGAAAACTGAAGTAATAAATTATGTATTCTGTATTACTGATATTTCTTAATAATATAATTAAAAACTCGTTTTTTTTTAAATTCGTGATTCATTTAAAAATTTTAGGCCCGTATTCAGAATGTGTTTACAATAATGTTAGCGCTCTAATATGCTATAGTTTACATTGCTATAGAATTTCAGAAATAAAAGCGCGCTTTTATCAATAAAAACGCGTTCTGAATACGAACCATAGTATATATAACAGTAATAAGGAATTTCATATTTAAATATTGAATCTTTATATATATATATATATATATATAAAATATTATAAAATAATTGTTTGCAAACGATCTAATGTAAATGATGCTGGATTTAAGATAGCAAGTTCGTTATTCGTCTTACTTTTGTTGCAGATCTGAGTATTCTCGATTTTGGAGAACAACTACTGACTTTGGAACCACCTCTCTCCGAAAACGACTACTCATTCTCGTTAGGCACCGAGGAAGGTCTTTCGGATCTCTTCGATTTTAAATTCTAGGAATATCATCGCTTATTGCACGGGCGTTCGTGTCTTTTTGGGCTCTGACTCAATAAACAGACGGAACTGCTTCGTCAGTTTTACAATGCGCCTTCGTGTTACGTAGTGATGATAGTTGGCAGTTTCGTTCCGCGCGTCGATCTTCGCGAAAAATTGCAAACATATAAAGACATTTTTATTTATTTATTGTTTCTTTAAGCACACTATTTTGTATCTGGAACTTATTTTCCGTATTTTTTGTACGTAAGAGTACAAGAAGGCATGAAGCTTAAAGAATAGTAACAAAATAGTTTAGGCTCGTCACAGGCAATTTCATAAAATGCACCCTATTGAAATCAAAAGAATACATTATATTTTCCGTAACAGGATTTTTTACACCATCTGTTATTGTCTGTTCTACATAAAAAAGAAATGGAATTTGATCTGTATTGTACCAGAATATTTTAATATTTTACGTTTTTTTTGATACTCATGTTTCATTCTGGAATAACGCGTAGTTATACTATTTTAATTTCTTATTACGGATTACAAACTTTTAATGTGAAAAAGCTGAATTGCCGAGGCACAGGATAAACATATCACAATATTGTTAATGTGTGCTTCCGGCTTGAAATGGTCTGCGTTGATCACGTTTGCGGAATGGATTGCAAAGATATTAGACAAAGAGACAAGAAGAGAGATGGAGATAAAGTGTGTTTGTATATGTATGCGTGGGCGTGTATGCTGTGTGCATGCGTATGTGTGTATAAGGAAGGAAGGGGGAGGGGGGGGGGGGGGAGAGAGAGAGAGAGAGAGAGAGAGAGAGAGAGAGAGAGAGAGAGAGAGAGAGATTGAAAAGCGAAGGCGCTTTTTCGTGCAATCTGTAATAATATTGTAAATTGTGCTAAGAGATAGGAGAGAGAATGTATTTGGGAATTCAGAGAGAGGACAGACTGTACTCGTGTCGGACAACGATCTAATTGTTTTTCGTAGTTGTCCAACTGTAAAATGAATGAGGCGGTTAATCGAATTCTTTCTGATATAAAATCTTGTTTAGTGAAGAGAGGGAGAGGGGATAGACGAGATTGCGAGGATTACTTCGTGCGCGCGAAAAATGACTGTGTACGTATTATTGAGATTCGAATGATTTTTTTAAATTATATGCGACCTAGAGTCTGTCGTTCTTCCTTCGGATGATGTATGTTTTTTTAACGGATAAATGTTGCCTTGTTAATAAATCGTTCGACAATATGATAGTCTTATTTCGCGTGCTTTTGTAACTCCAACCGGTCGAATGGCAAATCAAGATAAATAAACGTTTTCCGTTTTGAATATATTATTTTATGCCTCGTTATTTACTAGAAGGGAAATTAAACGCGACGAATAGTAATAGTTTTATAACAATTATATTACTAGCCGATTATAGGAGTCTCACACGCTCTGATCAACTTTTTATTGATGACATGAAGATGAACGTAGATAAAGTTAAAACGTACACATATGGTAAAAAAACGAGTGAAAGATCTTAGACTATATTGTCACATTTAAATGCGTATTTAATTCCAATTCGCAACTCGATTATATTGTCTAAGATCCTAAGATTGAAGGCGTAGTGCTATTCTGAACTTGATGACGGGATTTTTTTTAAAGATAGTTTTTTCTTGCCGGTGAACACTTGAATACTGTCGAGTAACGCGTTGCTGGAATTGTTTTATTGAGCAAGATTCGTGTAGAGATACCTCTTCTTGTTCCTCGAGATCTCAAGGATACACTGGAAAAATTGTCTGGAAGTCCCTCAAGGATGTACCCTAACGTACAACTTAGTGTACGTCCAAAGCCATAGTGCCTACAAAATAATCGTACCCTTCTGCAATTGTAAATACTTTACAAAACAATTATACAAGTATAAGCTCGCATTCATAATTGTGTGTATGTATACATAACACACTTCACATATATGCACACACACACACGCGCGCGCGCGCGCGCGCATGCGCGCGTATGTATTTACGTATGTTTGTGTATGTGTGTGTTTGTATGTAAAACAAATAAATAGACGCTGCGAACATTTCGTTATATGTAATTATCATAAAAATACGGATTAATTACTTTTAATGTTATTAATATTATTAATTATTGAAACACATTAAACAAAATGTTAGTTTATAATTTCATTCATTATATACGTACGTATATATACACATATATACGTGTACATGTATGTGTACATGTAGTGTGTATTTTACATTTATAGCGAAGGGATGTTGTGCAAGACAACGCGAAATTGTCTGTTGCATTAAAAACATATTAAAAATGATTTGAAATAATATTAATATACGGGGTGAAACATCTAAAATAGGTTACCTAAATAACTCGATTGTTTTTGATGATACGCGAAAAAAATGTTTCAGATGAAAGTGAAGAACGGTTTCGAGAGAAACGTGGTTTGGTCACATTGTTTTTTGTCTTGATGGAGGTAATGAAAAGATATGAAGCCCCTCGAAACCGTTCCACTTTCATCTGAAACATTTTTTCGTATCATTAAAAACAAGCGCGTTATTTAGGTGACTTCTTTTAGATGCCTCACCCTGTATATATATACACACACATTCGGATTTAATATTTTTTTATGAAATTAAATTTCTCAGAACGTCTCAAAGTCGATATATGTATATTGTTACAGAAGTTCTCAAAATAATCATAGATGAAAATTAAGAGAAAATTCCTCGATGTGACTTTTAATCAACAATTGCAATTGTAGATTGTTACTTTGCACAATATCCGCCGCGCTCCTACTCGCGATAGCGGGGAGGAATTGTATTAATCCTGTTTTCATTTTCCATTTACACTAGCTGAACGCTTTTTTTATATGGCTACAAGAAGATGAAAGGATGAAAGAGTATGTATGTGTTGTATTTCAAAATGAGAGAGAGAGAGAGAGAGAGAGAGAGGGGGGGGGGGGGGGGAAATCGTGAGTAGTGTAGATTTTGCGACAACGTTTACGTATACGCGCTTCTTTCGATCAGTATATCTGAAAGTCCGAAATTGATGGTAAATACGATTAAATACTGATTGATCATCGTAAAGAGAAGAAACAAATTGGGAAATAAAAAACGAATCGAATGATGCATCATTATGATGAGTGAACATTTTGTCACGTTTTAATGGGTCTGGCCCGCTAAAAGAACACCGCAGAGAAGAAAGTTGCAAAATATAATCTTATGTAACATCGTACAGAAATGTGCATTATTATCCCATTCGCACAATTCCTGTTATTTGATCCATGCAGATATATCCGTGTCCAACTTGTACTCGATTTTGTCTCGGTCACAAATCTTCCAGGTTTCTTTTCTCCAAATAATTTTTAACTTTCTTATTTTTGATGAAAGAAATAATCTGATTAAATGGGTTCCTTCAGCATCCCTGCATTGGCCAATTTGTTTGCTTCCTTGTTACTTGGTATTCAAAGACCTATATAGGATGATGTTACTGCTTTATCTTAGTTTATTTAGCGTTCGCCAAACTAGAAAAGATTTTAGTAATTCGAAGATGTTATATGTAAGATTAAAAATATAAATTTAAAGTTTTAGATATTTTTATAACTATTTTTATACGATTAATATTTTTCTTTATTTCTTGAGTTTCATCTTTGACGAAATTTTATTTTTAAAGCTGAAACGTTAATATATTATATTTATAATTCGTACTTGTGTGGTACAGCTAAATAATTTCCAACTTCAATTTATTTTGATTTTGGACCACGAAGCTTCTGTTATTGATTTATTATTGATTATTCATATTGTACAAGTCTTTCGAAACTTACAATAAATGGAGCTTTCGATAGCTCCGGTTCGCTGGTAGAGGCGAGGGGTCGGCGCATTAAAAAATACAAATTCGTAAAAAGAGGAAGGAAACGGGAAGGGAAGATCGAATAGACTTACTGTAGAATGGAAAGTAATAAAAATAATCCCGTCCGTGAAATATATATATCAGAGTAATCGTTAAAATAACATTGATGTTCAGTACGTTGAAACGAAGCTCTCTTTAATTATAATCGTTCTCCTAAAAGACGAGTATTATTGTACAAAGTATACTAGCGTATTAAGTATGCGTAGTACACAAATTACGTTATTAATTTGCGTACTACGCACGCAATTTGGGGTAGGTACAATGTTAAATGTGTCATTATCCTGCGTTCAGTGACAAACTTGATATACTATACGTTGTATGGTTGTGCCGTGTTGTAATCATGACAATTTATATAGAAATTACATAGAATTATATTAACGCGTTATCGGCGTTATTAGCTTTAGAAAGATGTATTTAAAGGTGTGTATAAGGAGGAATTATATCTACAAAATTTTTCAATCGGCCATAAAATTATCCATTGACTCGTTTCTGTGCCTCAACTCTCGAGATGTTCACAAATATCTTTACATATCATCAATTAATATTTCAGATAAAAATTATTTAATTAGAAAAGGTATTCAGAGGAAATAGTTTCTTATTACGAGATAATTCTCTTGAGAATATTATCTTATCTAATATCACCATATTCAAAATCATCATTATCCACTTATCAATAAAAAGAAAATTGAGAAATACTTCATAAGTATCATACATTTTAAGCTAGATAATTGTTTATTGTAATATTTGAAATTATGGAATATATCTTTATGACAGAAATAAAAAGAAATGCTTGGAACACATTGAAATATAAGTTACGGAATATTAAAAAATTGCTATTAAAACAAAGTTTTTAAATTCAAGTAATGTAATTTGATAATACAAGAGAAATTTTTAGAGAGAAGGAAAGTTAGAAATGATAATAAGATGTTTACTGTTGAGAATAAAAAATTTATAAAAAAAGAGAAAGAAATCTAGATATATTTATTGCAAAGATCGAAATGATTATTATGCAGTTTTACATGACTCTTAATATATTGATTTAAATGATGAATAAAATTGATTTAAAAATAGAGAGATGATATTGCTCTTGGAATACATCAGTCATAAAAATTTTTTTATAAATAAAGAGTATCTTTATAACATGTATATGCTCTTCCCTGAAACTGAATAACTTGATAAATTTATCCGAAACTTTTTTTTTAATTGATGATAAATAAATATTACTTTAATCAGCGATGAAGGCGAATGTTATATGCTACCTTCGCTTAACGTAGCACGCTCTTAGCAATTTTATCTAAAAGATTAATTAGAATTACAATATTATTTACATAAAAGAGATGCGCGTTGCGTTGGCACAGCAAAGATGTGTGCCCGGACTGCCATCCAGCGCTCAACAGAAATTTGTTACGATTAATTAATGATTACTTGATTTAATTATGAATGACATATATTTAAGTTTTTTGAACTTGCTTTCGTTGTGCTCTTTCAACAGCTGCATGCCAATTAAGAAAAATATGTGTCTATTTCGTTCAAAGAACATTTAATAATTGTACATTTTTTTCTCAGACTAATTCTATTCTATCTGAAATTCTTTTGTGTAACGAAAGCATAAAAATGTATTTTAAAAAATTCAATAAAGTTCTATAATTTTTTTAACGAATGAAAGCTTTTTTCCGCTGAAATAGGATTAACTTAAAGCAAAATTAAAAGTTAAGCGTGTGAATTTTTTGCGCGAATATCACGTGATTTCTAATAAATCAGTTTTATTAAAAAATTTCTTTTTGTATAGTTAGGCAGTGCAAATTGTATTATATGTATTCGTGATGATTTTCGATTTATTAGAAGCAACGTTTAGACACGGTGATGTAAAATAAATGATTTATGTGTCTTAATCGTTTTTCTGTTTATTTCAGGTATGAATAAAAAGACATTATTAATTATCTACATGTATTATCGGCTTTCCTCGCAGCACCGCCCACTGTCAGGTCAGTATTTATTAAACGGTTGGCAGTCCCGGCTTCAATGGAATGTTGCGATTATATTATCTAATTAATGCGAGCGATATATTCTATGGCTACGTAATTATACTGTTGTCGTTCGTGCCTCATATCGTTACACTTGCCGCATTATATTCACGCGTATCTTTCTCTCCTATCGCAATATACCAAATAATGATCTAAAATTATAAAGCCGCCCGATTTTATATTATATTTACTAATAATAATGTCGCTTTCTCGCATTTGCGCAAGCTGGATGTATATTGCCTCTTTATTTTAATACTTTAAACTAGCTGAGTAAAATTCTGTACATTGTTTCTCTTGACTTGATTTCCGCTGGGCCTAACATGTTGTTTTCGGAAATATGTTTTTCTTGAGAAAGAGTTACATCAAACAATTACTGTGATAGTTTGTCAATTTCTGCATTGATGCTAATAGAGAAGCCAAATTCCACGAATTATGATAATTTTGTTAAAGAAGAATATCTTCGTATACATTAAAAGGTTTAGATTTGACATAATTCATAAAAAAGATAAATATTTTTTTAGAAACATTTCAAATCTATATCTATATATGTATTTCTAAAAAATGGACATAAAGGTTTTATAGTTGTGCTATATGTGTGTAGAAAATTATAAATATCTTGCATAATAAACCGATAGAAAAGATACAAAGTCGACAATTAAAATACAATTTCATCACAGGCTACTACTTCACGTTTTTCTATGCTGATCTTAAAAGAAAAATCTTTACTCTTATTCTTATCTTAATACTTTTGCAACAGATTTTTTTCTAAAATTGGAACCCGAATACAATGTATAAGTATGTATTTTCGAAAAAAATTAATTGAACATTTTTATCATTTAACATTTTTAATTACATATTTAGACATAAGAATAAAAATAAGAATTAACATTTTTGTAAAAAAATTAACTATACATTTTTTTTTACATAAAATATAATAATTTTTTTTTGTGTATGATATTTTTAAAATTGCCTTTTCGGTTAATTTTAAGGTCAAAAAAATTAACTACCATTCAAGTTTATTTTTAATTTAAAGTTGAAATATAAAAAAAATATTATGTTAACGATAACTAGTTACAGATTTTAAAAAGACGTAGTACTACATCGACGACTGCAAATATCCTGAAATGATTAACATTCGTTATATTACGTTGGATTTTGAAAATTCTTTCCACAAAACACATTATACCTGCGTCGCTTACTTAAATTGCTTTAAAACAATAAGTGCTCTACATATATATAAATATAATCTCAGTTTACGCATGTTATACTTAAGTGATAATAACGTTATAATTTTTTACAGATCATTCAATGACAGTAAGGTAATTTTACTTCATCCAGGGTGTAAAATAAAATTTATAGTTTATCACGTAAATTATTGTTTATCATATGAAACGCTGATAGCACAAATGTATTAAACAGTTATTTTAATATAATACTTTTCTGTGTAATTTTTATCGATGTGTTTAACTCTACTATAAATTCCAAATAAATGACTTGATGTTAGTTAATATGAATCTAGTTGTCTCTCGCGATTTATATAATAAAATACAATGGCTAACGCAAGTACGAGAAGCCTATAAATGCTTCTAGTCTATTCATAATTGGAAATTCCTTTCATTCATATGACACAGGGCTAGCTTTAAAAGCACGATAAAATCAATTTTAAACAGAGCGTTGTTTTTATGTACATTGTTCGTATATGCAAATGGTATTCTAATATTACATTTGTATACATATGTAAATTTATACGTTTCCCCAGTTTCTTTCAATTTAGAAATATTAATGTATAACAATTTTTCTCTACTGTCATGTATCTCATGTTAAGGTACCTAGTTCGGATGTTTCTATTACACAACATCGTTATATTTTATAAAAGGCTTGCCAGCCAGGATCGATCGAACAGGGGCATGGCAAAAATTTATTTAAGGAAAGACAGACTTTTACAAAGTCAGCGCATAAATCTAATTAGCTGCCTCTTTTATTTAACACACTCGTTCTCGATGTAGCAGACTATAATACGGATAGTCTACTCGAATTAAAAACAAATATGTCTTTGCGCCGTAAATGCGCATGTATATATATATACACATATATACAAGACATTAAAAATTAGACTGATAAACTTTAGCGAGGTATAAATTAGGGCTCGCTATTCCACATTTAAACAAAAAAATACGTTTACACGTATAATTAGTATATTCGTATGCTAATTAAACGTATAAATGTTTATCTTCAAGTTTTCTAAAGCAAATATAAACGGATAAACGTTTTACGTTTATACGTATATTTGAAAAATGGAATAAAATTAGAGCCCTAGAGTATAAACGATTTTAAGAGAAACATTTTTTGTTAATATTTTTTTTGCGAAAAAATATTAATAAACAATGTTTGTTTCTTAATGTTTTTTTCCAAAATTTTGCTGATTTGAAGTTTTAACATTTTGTATATATGTTATGTACATACATATATATATATATGCATGTATATATGTACGTATGTATGTATGTATATGCGCAGCAATGAAAATGCAATATGTATAATATCAATGTATCACTGCTGCTCGCGTGACGAGTAGCATAACGAATGAATCTTCTTGTTTAAAATGATTTCAACGATAAAAAACAGTTCTATATGTATTTACACGACTTCTCCTCTTGCTTACACAGCACGCAGTTACCATCATATATGTGGCTATCTACATCGAGCCCTATGATCGAACGCGAAAGCACTTGAACAACGTTTCATTATACCCTGATCTTTTAATGTCCAACATTCAATGACAATCGATGAAAATCGGTAAGGTGTCTACTGTACTGTTCGCTCGAGGCGTGTTAGAATTTACGCGGCAGTGTTGGTTAATGAGCAATGAGAAAGTAGCGTATGAAACGGCGGAAAGTATCTTTCGAACACATACGAGATCGTATTTGCGCGTTCAGATTATGTTAAACTTAACTTTAATGTTCGTTAAATAAGCGTTGATCAAATCGATACATTCTCAGATACTGATATAAATTGTCATATAAGAATTAATTAGACTATCAATATATATCATCAGTATATAGATGGATCAAGACTGTTGATATAATTAACCTCATACGCAAATGAAATAATAATTTGCAATTTCATATGTAGTAAGTGTACTTTCTGCCGTTTTGATATTCTAAAAATTTCTCAAGACGCTCATCGTTAGAGGCACTCTGTCCGCGATTGAGCTGTCAAGTAAATGCGCTCGTGTAATCGTATCGCAGTCGTTATTGTAATGCTAGCAGAATCAGTTTACGCCATTATCTATAGTTTCGCACACCGGTTCCTTTCGCTAGAGTTTCTTCGAGGACCGTGTCGCCATGGCAGGGATATAAAAAATTTAAGTGGCTACGAATTAAATATACAAAATATAACATGTCTAAACTAAAATTAATTAAAATTAATTATACATACGACAAGATCAGTATGACTTTCCCCAAACAATACTTGAACAATTCATAAATATCGTATGCAATTAAATTGCATCAATCAAAATATAAAATCCAAATTAATCCTTTGACTGGATTAAAATAAAAATAATAAAAATAATAAATTGAAAATTTATAGATATTTTTAATGTAACATTTCGTTAATTTTTTAGACAGTCAAAATAGCTAAGAAAATTTGTGCAAGTTTTGCTTAAATTTGCTATACATATATCATCTAGCAAATTACTGATACAGTCGTAAATATAATGTATATGTACATATATAATCATGTACTTTTTGCCATTTCTTTTTCTAATTTTTTTTTGCCGCAACTTTATGTAACTTTACGTAATTTTTGAACTATCATAGAATTTTTAACATGTATATTCCTCGAAGAAACACTATATACTGTTGCCGTTATATATGCTCACAAGAGCTAAGTTATCGATAAACATGCTCTCGTTCGTATTCCCCGCCATTACCAGTACTCACAGCACGGCAATAAGTGCACAACGATATTCAAATTAGTCTTACTTAGATCTCTCTCTCTCTCTCTTTCTCTTTCTTTCTCTTTTTCTTTCTATACTTCGTTCCGTTATATTGGATATCTTAAACAAAACGCATAAATGAGGCACTTGCCCGAATTTATACCGGCCATATTAACACTCCGTTCCTGTTATAGATCAAGATCTGCCAACAATTAATACACGGAAGGCACGCCTCGTCTTTCGCGCGAATGCTTAAATGTCTCTACAGAGTGTTTTTCGTTTTATCTTGCATCAGTCTAAGCACCTAACAGGCCACTGCTACGAACACAGTCCTCATATGGTATCACATTACATTACTACGATTCAATCTTGTCGTCGTTGTTGTCGGCATATGCTTTCCTTTACATTTGACTCCCTTTTATTATAATAATATCGAGACAAAAAAAAGAAAAAGACTTCAAATTGAATCCTATACAGAATGATTCCACGGTGACTGCGAGCGTGGAATCGCGCGACGGACGATACTTGGCAAAGCTTGAAAATACTATAAAAAAGTAGATCCTGGGCTTATCACGAGACTATTCGCCGTCGACACTTACGTGTCGCTATGTGATCACGATAGTATTTTCCGACGTAACTTTCAGCCACGTGTTCATTATGAAGCTATTAGGGAAAAGGGGAAGAGGGGTTTCGCTGCACGTAGTACCATATCCATAATAATTCCTGGCTCTCTTCTTCGTAATGTTGTAGAAGATACATACAGTTTCTCACTTTTAACACTGTTAATATCCCAGGTGCACAAGTCACGCTGCTAGATGTTACTAGTAATCAAATCATAAACAGAGCGAATCGCTTCGTCCGCTGATGTAAAAGTACTGTCATTCTCGCGGCGCTTCGTGAGTAAGTCCTCGTCGAAAACACACCGAGTTCGTGTCGTCGCGTTTACGATAGTTTCTCTCCCTAAGCAGGAAATTGTTGTCCTCTCTGCTGTATTGGGCCATGGATTGAGATCGCGGTGGCGGACTATGCGCGGCCATGTACGTGATCATGTTGTTAAAGTTTGGCAGGAATTGTGGATTAAAGAGCGATAGGATTTTCTCATTAAGTTCACGGGGACTTCGGGTGGGCACCATATAATGATCCCGCGCGTTGCTCGTCACTCCGTGCCGATCGAATAGATCATTTTCGATGGTAGAATGTCGCCCACAGAGATCGTCAAGACTGTTTGCACTGTCACTGCCGCCGGATTCTTCGCACGTCGGTGCGTTCATCAATGTCGTCTCGACGCACTTAGACTCGGATTGATGGTACTGAGTACATCTCTGGGCCGCTGCGGATCGTTGCTGCGTATTGTAACCATCGAAGTATTCGAGTGTGCAGACCTCATCGTTCCCGATACTCTCGTAATGATCCTCATAATGATCCTCGTCCGGCTTATGCGTGTTGTTAGTATGGTCCGTGGCGATACCAGTGGTGAGGCTTGTGGGCGTCGTTCCGTCGTCATCCTCATCGTCGTCGCCGTCCTCGTCGTTGCGCTCATCCGATTCCGCGAGGTCGGAGGAAGAGGAGGTGAAAGATGCGCCAGAACCCGTGGGGTCCTGTGGCAAGCCTCAAACGGCTCTGTGTCGCCTTCTGTATCATATGTACGTTTTCTTCACTTTTTGTACTGGCTTGTTTTCCGCAGACGAATTCGCATTCTTGCCATTCGGGTTCTTGGGCGGTACATTCAGTACGAGATTGATGGACTTGTTGTTGAATCCGGGCGACTCCGAACTCTCTGTTAGTCTATTGAGTTGTTGCCGTTGCTCGGAGGGTTCTGGATACGACGATCCGCGCAACCTCTGAGAGAACCAGAAACCGAAGGCGAAACCGGCCACCAAAGAACAGAAACAGGTCCCTATTAGCGCACCCGTTAATGTTTGGGCCGAGTATACTACCGGTGTTACGGTCACGCCTGTAATCAGAATGCAACAAATTTAATCGATTATATTATATACTTATTGCGAAATTATGTTTTGCGAAAACTGCTCGCGCGTTTTATCTCTAGTGTTCGGAACGGAAGGGAAAAATTAAAACAAATACGAACAATAAATAATAATAATACATAAATAATAAAAACACAATTGATCTTTGCAGACATATCACCAGTACAAATACAATAAACGTGACAGAATGTTTTGTTAGAAGCAAAATTGAGTATTTTGGTAATATAATTGCAGAAAAATAATAATATATAATAAAAGGATGATGATTCTATATGTATATTCAAATGGTGAATAACATTTTTTATATGAGGCATCGTTTCCAAGAAAATCGATTTAAAAAATTGAAAAATGTAACAATTAATATAAATCAGTGATATCGTTTTTACTTAAAATTTTCTATTAAAAAATTTTTAACTACATTGCAACATAAATGGTTCAACGTGTTTTTATAGTTGCCATAAAAAATTAATTGCATTTAAAACAATAAAGCAATAAAATAGAAAATAATTACGGTTATCGAATAATGGTTTTGTAAAATATTAAAACTATATTTTTATTTTAGTTAGTATAAATAAAGAAAAAGATAGAAAAATATACAAAATTGTAATTAGAACACATTAATTGATAAAAAATTATGTAATCTTATTAAAATAGAAAAAATAATGACATTTCTTCAAACCCGTTTTTCTCTTAAAAATGAAGCTACATATAAAAAAAGAGAAAAATTATATTGATATTTTTTGCTCAGTTAAACCATCAATAACGGATCATTCTATTAGCATACCGATTACATTAGTTGCAAACATAAAAAGAAGTCCGTTTCGGAAAATAAAATACCATGGCAGGAAAGAATCAGTTTAAGCGGGATCGCATATTATGAGAGGGATTTTCGAATACGGAAGGTAACTAAATTATTATATCAATGTGATGTGATGATGTTGGTTACCTTGAGGCTCATTAGCCCTTGGCTGTGTACGACCGTACTGATTTTCCCGATCCAGTTCGATGATGATTTCATTCTCCCCATCGGACTCTTCGCGCCCAATTTCGCGCGCCACTGCTGGTTGGACGGACTTCGTTACCTCTGGAGTAACATTTACCAACATGATGACAGATATGATTACGTACAAAATGATTTTGTATACTTATTACAACGTACATTAGGTACCATGTATGACTTTTACACTCGACATTAGATTTAGATTTAGACATTTGTGACAAAGGAACTTTTTAGATCTATAAGTAAGGGTCTGCGCACAATGGAGGAACAGATATTAGATATTAAAATATTAACCTATCCAGATACCAGTTACACCGAAATACACGATTCTGATAGGTTAATATTTTAATATCTAATATCTGTTCCTCCATTGTGCGCAGACCCATACATTACACAAACGGCGATACTATCAATTTCTAATTCCACCCGTTCACTTTACTGCTACTACTATTTGATATCACCTTTAGATATTCGTACATCATGACTGGGCAGTAAAAAATTTAAACCTATTTTTTTGGATTAATTTAATTGCTTTTTAAATTTTCGTGTAAGATATTTGCAATCTTTAAATTTCAATTTCAATAATACAATTCTTCAAACAGTTCTAAGTCATGATGTACATTAAACATCATTAACATCTGATGCGCCAGATTTGGAAATGCTGCGAAAATATACATAACATCTAGCGTAGGCATGAATATACTATTATGAAGCTCTATAAAGCTGGTAGGACCAAATGAGCAGAATCAAATCGGACCTATTGAAAATTTTAGTACTAATTTTGTACTAATTTGTACCACCAATAAAAATTTTGTACCATGTGCCGTTTTGAAAAAAAACGTGGCGCTGCTAGCTTAATATTAAGCCAACAGGACTAATAAAAAAAAAAAAAATAAATAAGGAAATAAATAGGATCGAATTTGTACTAATTTGTACCACCAAAAGAAATTTTATATTATACGTCATTTCCAAGAAAACAGTGGCGCTGCTAGTTTAATATTTAAGCTAGCAGGACCATAAAAAAAAACAACGCAAGGGCAAAAATGGATAAAACTGAATTGTAGTACTAATTGATTTGTACTAATTTGTACCATTGAAAATAAGTTAATATTTTACACAAAACCTATGTGAATCTGCGGCACTCGACTTCAAGAAACAAAATTTTTAATGAGCATTAAATTAAGTCAAGCATTTTTGTAAGTCAAATGTCAGGTTTCACATAGGTGGCCTAATGATGGCTAAGAGATTAAAAATAATTATACAGTTTACATATTCGATACAAATTATATTATAAATGTTATAAAATTATTACAAGTCATATAAAGTAAGAAAAAAAAAATTGTTTAACAAAAGATAAACAAAAACAAAAACATAAACATAAAACCTGAAACAAGATATTATTCTTTATAATATATTAATAACGCTGCAGTTATTTCTGCATTTTCTTTAATATTTTTTTCTTTTTTCTCCAAATCATTATATTCCATCCATGTTGTACAATTTGTATCGGATATGTAAACTGTATAATTATTTTTAATCTCCTAGCCATCATTAGCCCACTTATGTGAAACCTAACATTTGACTTACAAAAATGCTTGACTTAATTTAATGCTCATTAAAAATTTTTTTTGAAGTCGAGTGCCGCAGATTCACATAGGTTTTGTGTAAAATATTAACTTATTTTCAATGGTACAAATTAGTACAAATCAATTAGTACAATTCAGTTTTGTTCATTTCTGCCCTTGCGTTGTTTTTTTTTATGGTCCTGCTAGCTTAAATATTAAACTAGCAGCGCCACTGTTTTCTTGGAAATAACGCATAATATAAAATTTCTTTTGGTGATACAAATTAGTACAAATTCGATCCTATTTATTTCCTCATTTATTTATTTTTTTTTATTGGTCCTGCTGGTTTAATATTAAGCTAGCAGCGCCACGTTTTTTCAAAACGGCACATGGTACAAAATTTTTATTGGTGGTACAAATTAGTACAAAATTAGTACTAAAATTTCCAATAGGTCCGATTTGATTCTGCTCATTTGGTCCTGCCAGTTTTATAGAGCTCTATTATGAAATAGAGTTGATCATGAGCTGTATTAGTCGTGCGAGCAATATTCTTAGCATAGTTGAACATGCAAAAAGTATTATTTAACAAAAATAAGGTGTTAATATTCGGTATAAACAATGACACGGAAAACTTAGACAAAGCATATAATATTTTGTTTTGATATATTTTATAATAATAAATAAGTTTGACATTTCGAATTGCTAAAATCATAATTTCCTTTATTCTTCTGACAACGGTCTTTTACACACAATGTATCTCTGTGGTAATAATTTAATAATTTTATTGAAGAAAAGAAAGTTGCACATGGGCATATGAAATTTGTGTAAGTAAGATATACCTTCATGTTTGGTTTGTTTTATTTATTCTTTGATTAAATTTTAATTTTATTAATAATTCCATAGAATCATGATGCGGAAACAGCTTTATTTGACAATTTTCTTTCCTTTATTTTACAATTGACTAAGAGAGAACATTTGACATCTGAGTTATAGCTCATAGATTATTGGATTTGTTATATGTTTTTCGATATCTTTATGTATTTGAGACTGAAGAGGACTGCAGTAAGCGTCGAAACGTTTCGTGTTTTAATTATGAATATTATATAATAAATTTATCAACTGATAATTGTTGCTTGTTTATACCGAATATTAACACTTTATTTTTGTTGTTTTTTTTATAATATAACAAGCGATTTAATACTTATATTATTATTTAACTGTTTCAGATTTGATATTTATATAATGTGCATATACTTAAAAAAAAATTTTTTATTCAAGTTTTATAGATATTTTGGATTATTATTATAAACATTTATACTTTTATCTATGTTTCTCTTAAAATAAATATTGTTTTTCAATCAATTCTTTTTCAATACTTTTTTTCGACTTTTTAATAAAATTATGTACAAAATCAAACAAGAAAAAATCAAATCTGAAGCAGTTTGATGTTCGCTAGGAGATACAAAATGTTACCCCTGAACATTTATTGCCCATGTATTCTTTAGTAGCGTATTCGATAAAAAAGCATGTTTACAAAAAAATGACCACATATCTTGATTGTTATTAGATTTTATATTAGATGAGTAATCTCTCTTCTATTTTTTCCGTTTTAACGAATACATTATACGTATATTCAAGCTCACACACATAGGAAAGAGGGAGTGAACAAAGTGGAGAAAGTAATTAAAATAAATACACTTAGTAGAAGAGTTTTTAAGAAAGTTTCAAAAAGATTGTCTATTTTGTTCAATTTTCTATTTAAGTTTGTAATTTCCTATTTTATAATTTTATGATCTTTCTTTCGTAGAACGAGTATTACATGCTGAGAAACAAAATTGATTATTCACGTTAAATAGACTACGATGCACAATAGTTGCACAGAAAAATCTCGAAATTTTTTAAAATCCGTGTGTTGAATTCGTACATAATGTACAAATGTGAATGAAAACACAATCTTGTTCGAACCAATAATCAAAAATAAATTCAAGTAAACTGCGTGCTTTCGAAATATTCAGATAGAAGTAGAAACATTCGAGTTTCAAGTTCGGAAAATTTGTATTATTCGAACCAATTTGTATAACTTTGCATTCGTCGTAGCAAAAGAAAGTAAAAAAATAACAAATAAAACTGAGAAGAGAAAATCAAGTCATAAAATTATTAAACAAGCGATCAAATAGCAGTATACCATAACATTATGCATATTTATTTATTTCCAGGAACAATCTCGATAACAATAATACAATATAGTTTACATCAAAGGCAGTACCTGGTTCGTTCCCGCAGCTTCTGTGTCTACCGGTCGAGATATCTTGAAACAGAGTCTTGTCGGCGTCGTTGTCGTGGAGTTTCGTCGATACCGCCACGCAAAGGTTCGCGGTCGCATCCCAGGCGCAATGAGGATCTTGTAGGGCGACGCAAGATTTGCAAGTAGCCGCAGCAGGTGAGTCACAATGATGTAAGGGAACTGCGCGGATCTCAGAGTCCGCAAACACTACCAGTTTACTTGCTTCGCCCGCTAGATGAACTACCAGAAGATCTTTGACCGCTTGGCCTGCAATAAAAAATTGCATGTCACATAAAACAATATAAATATTATGCGTTATAAAATCGCGTAAAATGTTTTAATTTTTATTCTAGTTTTTATTTGTTTGAAGAATAAATTAAATAAATATAAACAAATAAATAAATAAAACAAAACAATTAAATAAATAAATAAAATTTCATCAATAAATAAATGTATAAAAATAATTTTTTAAAAAATGTGCTACGGATACTTTCGATTATTATCTATTTTCTAAAAAGTTTCAATTTATTTATCAACGCAAAGTATCCAATCAATAGATAATACATTTCATCGTAAATAAGAAAGATATTTAAAGAATATTGAAAAAAGTGACATTTCTCCAATTTACTTCATTAGAATGTTATTGTTAAATACACGAAGACTTCGCGTGCTATATATTATATATATATATATATTTGATGAAAACGGATATTGTGTTATTTACGTATGATGTGATTTATAAGCATATCTCTTTAAATTTTTACTGAAAATAACGCAACATATACATGTAAGAAGTATGGTACGCGCAAAGCTTCTTAGAAACTTTTTAAAGAAGCATCGAATTTCTTATTCAATCTCAAGCAGTTCTTTCGTTTGACTATATTCTACATTCTATCGTACGAAAAGATTGTACCGAAATCGAACGCACTGGAAATTCAAACAAATTTAGGTAGTTTGCGTTGCAATTGATCTATTCAAATTGGCAATATACGTCAAAATTGTTCTCTCTCTGTTTGCATTTTTCAACCTAAGGATTTAAATACTAAATATCTCGTAAGATTATACGATAACGCATTTTCCATTAATGTGAATTTAGTCGCGCATCGCATGATTAGTTCCCATTTATTTTTCACATCATTGTATAATACATTCAACGGTGTACAATGTAAATTCTACCTAGCTTCAGTATGTAATTATGTAATATAAAAATATGATATTCATAGACAAAAATACATTATATTAACTAGGAAAATACAAAACATTGTTTCTTGTTAAACTCGCAAAATAATACAATTACAAAATACAATAAATCTACTTACCAAATTTTAACACTTGAACATCGCTGATAATAACTTGACCAACATTGTCATATGATTCTGGTGCACGTGTATTAAGTGCTTTTAAAACGCGGCCATCATCTGTATACAACAAATAAATCTCGTTAATCTCTCAGAAATATAAATCATCATTATTACAAATATGTATATATATTAATCATTTATAATAATAATTAAATTATTATTATTGATAATAGACTGATTATTATTATAAATATAATAATGATATACAATTTCGAATTAATATATTAATTAATACATTATTATAAATAATTAAATAATTATACCTGTTCCGATATAGAGTATATCGTAAGCTTTACCATCCAAAGCCTTTACTTGAGGATCTACCGCAACTTTAGTAAATCTATAACTATAAATGTTAAAATTTATGTGTTAATGGTATGTTATGTTACATAAATACTATTAAAAATATATAAGTGCAATAATAGCTTTAAAAATAACTTTCGATAAAAAATTTAATAAAATTCAAAGTAAAATTTATGTAGAAAAAATTCTTGCATTTTTGCGTATATATATATATATATATTGTATTTGATATTAAAAATATATAACGTTAAACATTGAGAAGCCATAATAAATAATTAATTTAATATTTTTAGGGAATATATGTATACTTACAAAAAATTAACAAAAAGATTCGTATTTAAACATGTTGCGCTAAACTGTCTTAAGGTAGAAATACTATATTTTACATAGGACAATAAATATGTTACATTAAAATTATATTAATAAAAGTATGTTGAAAGTATTAGTCAATTAAGTTACTCACTTGAAACTGGTTTTAGTTATCACAGGTAACGAAAAATAAGATTGCACTGCGTCGTCCATGAGGGGGTGTGCTTTGACGAAATTAACAGTGATGTCCGGAAGTGTTCTGGAGTCATTAACACAGGCACCGGGTCTGGGCTCAGGTACCTTTTCCGGAAGTACTCGCAGCCAGTTGCTGTTTATAGTCTCTTGTTCTTTGAAAGCACCCTGGAAGACCTCGAGAATGTTGTCCATAGAGAATGCACAAATAGCTGAGCCACCAATAGAGTTCACCGGGGTCGTGAAAACTCCATACACCAGGCGCGCGGACTTCCCTGCGTATCGACCATCCGTAACATCGCTCGTTGACTCTAAATAAGATAAAAAAGTTATTCGAAATTATTTTGAAATCATTTTTGTCTCATAGATGATAAGTGCCAGGCATTTTTTAACATCTTCCTATGAAAACAATATATATTTCAGTAATTGTCTAGAATGATAAGAAAAAAATGGATCATATAAAATACATATAGAGGAGAGTGGTCTAAATCGGACCTATTTGCAGTTTTTGTTCTCTATAAGGCGTAAATAAAGACCGATCATAAAACTAATGGTGTCGTTCGAAAGATCATTTAATTTCCTTCATTTTTACTTGAGAGCATTTTGACGTACCTGTTACCTGTGTCGAACTATAATGGAAAATGTAAAAATGCATTTTCCGATCTGATTTGGAACTTGAGTTCCAAATCGGATCTTTCCTATTTTTATAGACTTTTAGATAGAATTTTAAAATATTTTAATTAATTTTTGTTAGTATTGAGTAAAAACGAGCAATTTAAGACTCAAAATAAAAATACAGTGTATATTATTGAAATTAAAATCAATAAAAAATTCCATCAATCTGAGTCTGATGACACATGATATTTTATTGATTTAGTGTCCCTTAGACCAGATCTGGTCGGTCATTAATACTACAAGCAGGTTGTGATAAACCTTCTTTCTTCGATGAATTAGCTGGTTTACTCGTCTTTTTAGTGTTTTTGTATAGGTCCGATTTGGACACCCAAAGAGAGGTCCAATTTGGACATATAGGTTCTTTCGAACAATTGGAACAAATTTTACAATAAACCGCAAAAGTAATCACAAAACTCTTGATATTTTTGAATTCTACACTCTTTAATTATCTTAAATCAATTAACGTTCAAATTTTTAATATCTTTTAAATGATTTACAGGGATTTTCTTTTTTAAAAAAATTTTTGCATGACAAGCCGAAAATACATATTTGCGTCTATTGTATGAACGTTATGACAGAGTACTGCACTTTAAGACTTTACATTATAAATAGCACGCAAATCTGCTTAACCGTATTTATTTAAATTAAAAAAGTCCCATTTGGAACACGGTCCGATTTAGAACATTCTCCCCTACATATTGTATATAAAATATGCATAGCAAAATGATTTGCAAAATTTAGTCAAAAAATAAGAGTTATTATTTTTAAACGAACAATTTTTCGATTGTTTAATTAAAGTTGATAATAATATTATATTATCTGCAATATACTCGATTTAAATTCACGATTTAGGAAATTATTCACGTATTTAACGTGAATGATTTTATATCGGCATTTAATTTTGCATTACTCATTTTACTTTTTCCGTTCTATGTCATACTTAAATCAAATATCTTCTTTTAACAATCGCTGAATTAATTAAATAAATAAGATTTAAGATTTTAATGAATTTCAATTTCCATAACAATTTTGTCTGTTTGCAATTCTTTCCACATTTTTGACATTTCATGCTAAAGTATGTCTCGACATTAACAAACATGTCTCATCATTAGTCTTAGTGTTTCGCGATTAGATACAAAGTTCGAACAATCAGAGAAGCAGCCTGTGATTTCGCGGCATCTCTCAGACATCTGGAGACGCGCCAACTTCGCCAACATAGGGATTTCAATTCGATATGCGGCGACAATATTCTACGAGAATAGAGTGCTCCTCTCGTTCGTTCTCTATTCCTACCGTTTCTAAACGTGACGGTGCACGGCTATTGTACTTCACACTCAAGATTAGTCCATTTTACTGTACGATAGATAGAGTGACTTATCCGATTTCATTGTACGTATGGGAATGGGCGAGAAACACAGAAATCGATAAATGTGACAAAAAAGTATCATGTAAATAAAAAAAAACATTAAAAAAATATTAAATGTATGAACTTTTTATAATGTTGTTAAAAACAGACATTTATGCTTATTATATTATTATTATTATTATATACAAAGGAATATGATTCCTTATACTTAAATAATGAATCTCTTCTATTTATAATTAATTGCAAACAATGTCATAATGTCTCTCATGTAAAAATTTTGCATAATTAAATGTTAGAATGCAACTACAATATTACTAAAGCGCAATATTATTCTTATTATATTAAAAGGACATACGTGCAATAGAAATGTACAATATTTGTATTTGCTTTACAAGCTGCGCTGTTTGTTTTTTCTCATTCCATACAAATGGAAATATTATGTAATATATATCCTATAACTGTACGTAAGAAAGTGAATAATTGCATATATCTTTAAGTTTGGATAAGCTTACGAATACCTGAATTACATATCAGTTTTGTATTTTATAAAGAGGAAGAAGTAAAATTTTGAGATATATCAAAATTAAAATATATTTAAAAACAATGTTTCAAACAGAAATTTTTCAGAAAAGAAATATGATGTATGTGATAAATTTTTTTATAACATGTTTTTATAAGACGTCATCAATATTCTATAAATGGGGAAAATGATAATATTTTTTTATGTAATTTTATTCTCTCTCTCTCTCTCTCTCTCTCTCTCTCTCTCTCCTCTAACTATTTGCATGTAAAAGCAAAATTATTTTGCATATTAAGGGAAGTCATAAAAAAAATCGATATGAGATATTTTATATTTTATTCTGAGATATTTCGATATAAAAATATAAAATATTTTAAAAAATATTAATTTTTTTATGACTGTATTTTAACTCATATTATTATGCGCAAGATAATGAGATATATATTGATTTTTATGTATTATATAAAAAAAATATACGTAATGACATTTTAAAAAGTATATAATTTGCAACATATGATATATAGCATATTGTAAATTAGATTATGTACAATATTAAATAAAATGCATAAAATATTAACTTTTATAGAATTGGGAAGCTATTATATATAGACGCTAAAACAGTATCATATTTTAAGGCAAGAAATACAATAAATTATAATAAATTTTATTAAGGAAAAATTGTAAAATTTAAAAAATAGACCCTGCCACTCTTTAAAGGTTGAATCCAACTACAGTCACTCTTCCCTATGGATCTCTTTACAAGAGCAACTTTTAAAGTCTTTAAAATTGCATTTTCTTTCTTACACACACACATACAACAGTATTTCGTAGAACGGAAAAGTATATCGGGCGGAAATCGCAGAAAACTTAAAAAGTAGAGGAACAGTATATGCACTAAGTGGGAACTAACGCGGCGCAGAATCGAAGAGGCTCTTTTACGAGGACCTTTTAGAAGCGTGCGAGAGCCCTCGTTTGAAACTACTCGAGCGTAGTCACGATCGAAGCCGCGAAAGGACCGCGCATATGCATACTCACGTATTTCGTTGAAATAGAAGGGGTACTCTCCTGGTACCGAACAGTTGAGCCTCGCTTTCAGGAAACTCGTCCATCTGTCGCTAAATGCGTGTGGCCCGCCCTTATCGTGCTGACAGACTCTACCAACTCGCGAATAGACTGACTATAATGTGAATCAAACTTGTGAAGCGATCGATCAATATTCTAAATTTTTCAATATTTCAATATATTTTTATAAACAGATATTATTTTCTAGATATTATAAGAGATCTTTTCTGTTTAAAACATCTAACACAAGAAATACAGTACGAAATTTGTTGAATCTTGATAAGTTAAAAATAAAGAGACGCATGCATATGTGTACCATGTATTACATATGTACGAGATACAATTCAAATCATTTCTTTACAAATCTCTAAATTTTAATGAATTTTTTTTAAAGCTATCAGAAGTAAATACAGAATTATTAATAAAATTTATTCAGGATTAAGAAATATTGAAAATAAAAAAGTCATTCCTCACCTTTCCGCAATTCATGTATTCTACGGCTGTTTCACGGTAAAAAAAGAATACGTAATCTTGATATGCGAATGTGCTAACAAAGTTCGGACCTGAAATAATAAAATTGCATCGAATTCGATTATTGAATTTATTTTACCAAGCTGTGGTATTTTACAGCATAATTTCTTTACTTTAATATTCAATGATTAATAAAAACAAAATTGTTTTGTTTGTTAATGATAAGATCAGGCTAAATGTTACAGGTAATAACTTATTTCTTATAAATTTACATAATTTATATGATAATGTATATATTTACATAATTTATAATATAATTTCTTATAATTATATATTGTATAATTTGCATTATAAATTCATATTTCAATAAATTTACCTGATATTTACATAAAGTGATGCTTTAAAATCAAATTGTTGGTTCGGTAATTTGAATCATTATTGTGTGACAGAAAATTCTTTTTTTCTTTAAAGATGATATTATAATTATCTTTAAAGTTAATCATTCTTCTTGTATTATTGCACTCGTGCAGCCTATTAAAATTTCAGATAACAAAAGGGACAAATCTCAATTCACAAAAAAAAAGATTACGTAATTATCAAAGAAATTATCAAGATATTTAATCTCTGTTATCTTTCATAAAGTTGCAGAGCTACTTTCCAATCTCATAATTCAGCAAGTCCTGCAGAAGCGGTAGAAAAAAGTTTGTGTAAATAGATACGCGCATAAAATCTATTAAGAGCTAAACAAGTTTTTTCAAATTATAGAATTGAATATTGTAGATATATTATATGAATATACCCAATATTGTTAGCGCAAAATCGAAGAAACTTATAAAATTTTGAAGTACTATCGCAGACACCACATTGTGAATTTCTCGTCGTGATTTCTAGGAACTTACCGTTCAACTGATTGAGATCCGAGCGTTCGGTGCGAATTTTGTCTCTGTGAATTAGCGGCTCGCCACCAGAGAAGTCAGCTACCGTCGCGGCGTATAACTGTCCCTCTGAAACATACATAAACGTTTCCGTCAGTCACACCTTCTACATTTGCAAGCTAAACGAGCGCCATCAGGTCGATGGTTATACAGCGGCTCTCAGGGTTAATTCATCCTCCTACTAACGCGTCTCTCGGAAATTGCCCGTTGAATTTACGTCGGTGGTGCTATCCGCAAGGTTCACATGTGTGCACGCACCAGCATGACCGAATTTTCACCTCTCGCTATCAAAGTCCTCGAAGGACTGACGGGAGGCCTCCGAGTCCCTAAACGATGACCATATCTTGAGTCAACGCAGGTGATTATACGAGCTTAATTCCGCCAGTCACTCTCCCGCATTCATGACTTTTCCGTATTAATTTTGGCATAAATGGCTACGTTGGCTACATGAATTATTAAAAAAATTAATTTACAATTTACAAATTTCTAGTCAATAAACTGTGTAATTTTAATTGATACAATATCGATTCCTGTTCTGCTCTTCAATATACTCTTTCTTTCGTAATTCTTCAATAGAGAATAGCAATGTAAGACATGGTAGTTCCAGAGCTTAAAGAGTTGAGCCTTAGAATTGCATTGTAAGACTTGCATTGACAAAGGCGAACAATTTTGAAATGGAAAATTAAATGAAGAATTATTTTCTTTTTGACTCTTTTCGTAATAAGTTTCTGATAAAACATTTCACGATTTGTGTTTTATCAAAATATATAATATTGTCTCATTCTATTATTATATGTAAAATATATTCGTAGTCATCTTTAAATTGTCCTATTGATTTCGCATATAAAATAAATATTAATTTTTTAATTAAATAAATGACAAAAATAAACGAAAATGGAATAAATAAATTAAAAAAGGTATATAACATAATAATAAGGAACGATTAAAATATCAAAATATCATGCAACGTACATTCAATAGAAATAACTATCTTGCATGAGCGTAACATGTAAGATTAAAGTAATATATGAAAGTTTGGCGTGTGTAAGTCACATTAAAAATCATACATTTCACATGTTTTCCACAAACGTGTAGATTGCTCCAATAATTGCTATAATATAATAAAATAAAGAGGTAAAAATATAACATACATTAACGATATCTATATGAAGATTAAGTATAACGTGTATATATATATATATATATTGTAAGATATTTTATTTTATAAGTTCAGTTAGTAATTAGTCCATTTTTATGCTATTTACAAAATAGAAATAAAAAGAAAGGAAAAAAGTCAGGTAAACAAATTACGCGATTAACATCATGATAATTATGATGAAAAAATTTGATACGTTCAAGTATTATTCTTATTCTTTCTTTCATTTGATTACATAAATGAAGAAAACCTATCATTATCTATATTTATTAATTTTATTTGTATATAATTTGTTTATATTGCACTGAGTACATTCTTATAGTATTTGCTTCTTCATTGAAATTTGGCTATTATAACATTCGCAACTCAAAGAGAAAATAATAGATGTGGTATCGTGCGAACAAAGTAAGTTCCGTAAGGGAATTTAAACACAAAAGGATGGTACAGAATGAAGAAGGTAGATGATATTAATGTTAAAACGGGAGAAGAATATACATACATTTTAGGACATATATAATCGCCAAAGAGTGCTAGAGAAACCTTAATCCTATTAATATTACGTTAGTACAAAAGGCGGTTTCATCGTAAAATATTTGTCAAATAAAGATAAAAGAGAAACTACGTAATTTCAATATAACTTTTTAGCATTGGAAAATCTTATTCTAATTTTAATAATGTTTTCTATTTACAAAATAGTTTCAATTCCTTTTTAAAAATTAGGAAAACAATTAAATTGTTATATTAATTTAATGTTTTAAGATAAAATGACGATCTTTAAATTAAAAAGTTCGTAGGAGATAGGAGGAATTAGGAAATTATTAATCTATAGATAAATTATTCATATAATTTGTTCATTATAATTAAAACCTGAGAAATATTTTTCAGAAGTATTATATGTGTATCATAATTCATATTAAATAAGTAATATTTTCTTGTTAAAATAATTGAAATTATTAGGTCTATAATTGAATTCTCGGTCTTTATATTTAATCGACTACAGTACTTATTCAAATTTGAATCTTTTTCTCACCATACAGTCGTTTTAAAGCGTCATTCTTAAGCTTTAAAATGAGGTATATCCGTATATAATAAATGTCGATGTTCTAAATCTAACCTGAGAAAATAGTAATGAAAACTCAAAAAGCAGCATTTGAGACACTGACTCTTTCTCGCGTTTCAACTGACGAAAAATGGCGCGGAAAAAAGCTCAAGAAATGATTTACTTGGTTTTAGGCGAAAACTCTGTGTCGTGCACTACACGTAAAAAGTGATTTCAAAAAGATTTTGTGATGGCAATTTCAATTTTTTTCATCGTCATTCATCGACTAAGCCATCTTTTTTTCCGAAGCGGAATCCGACAGTGGCCCGAAAGATGGCGAAAATGTGAAGAGGATTACTTTGATTAGGTTAATATATTCGTTTTTTATAATTTTATATTAAAACTTGTGGTAAAAGGGGGATAATTAAATTGTAGATCTAATATATCATAATTGTTTAAATTTAACAGAAAGTTAAAATATAAAGAGTGAGTATTTACAATATCGTTAAAATTAAGTTTTATCGAAGATATATATATCTATTAACTAACATAAATACTAAATCAATATTTAATTTTCAACTCTTCAAATTAATACTCAAGCAAGAATCAGTGTAGTTTTATAGTATATAATGATTAATAGGCAATTGGAGTTTAAATGTTAGATGTAATTTGTTCTAATAACCTTTTAATATTCTATCAGTGTAAATCAGTAAACGTTAAGGCCTAATGCATCTTAGATTCTTTAAGTGGAAGTGAATTGCCTAATCGAGTCTTGTACACAAGATGTTGGTGCGTGTTGATACGATTGATTTATTTGTACCGTTTTTTCTTATGTTTGATCCTCGGTTTGGATCCTTATTAAGAAATTCTAATATTATAAAATCATTGTGCTGCATGGAACAATGCTACAATATCAGGAGTAACAAATTGTAATCGTTCTTATATTTGAAAGTAATGATAAATGAAAATTTGTGAAAAATAAGATTGCGAAGAATATCACATGTTGGCGTTTCGTCCATTTTATAATATTAGAATTTCTTAATAAGGATCCAAACCGAGGATCAAACATAAGAAAAAACGGTACAAATAAATCAATCGTATCAACACACACCAACATCCTGCGTACAAGATTAGGCAATTCACTTCCACTTATTCTGATTTTCATCACACGAGTCAATTAGTATCATCTTTCATTATATTTAGATTCTTTAAGTTAGAATATATATGTAATTATTGCTGAAGATGGCTATAAGCAATTGCCGAAAGTCCTAAAGTTTACATGATTGACAAACTAATAGAATATTAAAAGATTATTAGTAAACTACATCTAGCACTTAGACTTCAATTGCCTATTAATCATTGTATACTTGAAACTACACTGATTCTTGCTTGAGTATATAGATACTGAGTATATAATTGAGAGTGTCCCTTCTCTCTTGCAGTTTTTCTGTAAAATTGATAGCATTCTTCGCAATCTTATTTTTCACAGAGTTTGATTTATCATTACTTTAAATATTACATCGTTAAATTTTAATATATGTCTTTCAACATATTATTAAGATTCAATAAAATGCTATAAGCATCAAAATTGTTAGATTGATTGTCAATTTAACTAAAGTGATATTATCGCGGTAGTTGTTTAGAGTTGCGTTGTAAGTCTGAAAAAAATTTCGGCACGCGATAGGGGAACTATATACGCGGTATATAAAATTCACACATAATTTTAAAAAGCATTTGTGATCCAGCTTCGACCGTTATTGGTTTTGACCGTTATTGCGGTTTCCTTCTTTTGTTAGTTTATTGTTTATCAATTGTACAGTCCTAAAAAAGATTTTAGTATTTTTTATAACAGAAATTTCTAATAGTGCAGAAACCGAAAAAAATGACTTAATTCTTAATTCCTTCGCTGGCAAGCTCAAATTAAATTTTTATATTTTTTCTCACAAAAGTCGGCATTTCAGGATCTCATATTTAAATATTCAACAATTTTTATTTGAAATTTTAAGTCAATAATTTTAAAATATTTTGTAAATGAATTTCTGAAAAATGAAATTAAAACAATAAAATATAGAAAGAAAAAATTAGCTTATGTGAGCTATCACAAATTGTTCTTGTGTATAAAAATTATATTATTCAATTGAAATAAAAATACAGACTAGTATTGAGATTGACTAGTATTGAAAATACAATTAGTATTGCTCATTTTTCAATTTTATTATAATAACTTCCATCAAAGTTTTAGAATCTAACTAGATACGACAGACGGAGAGAACAATTTTAATTAACAATGCAACTTCATTTTTGACAAACATTATTTTTGTTAGACCGTACAAGTCAACGGTCAAAGCTGGAAAATAGTTCTTATTATAATTATGTGTGATTTTTATATACTGCGTATGTAGTCTCCCTTAGCCTTAACCGTTATAGGATAGGCTATCTTCTTCTTGTTTGTGTTTATCACTTGTACGGTCTTATAAAGATTTTAATATTTGTTAAATACGTGGCAAGCCGAAATAAGACGTTATTCCTACTTTAGATAAATATTACGAAGAATATTACTACGTTGACCCGCCATCAGAGGTCTATCGATATTCACAAATTCGTAAGTGCTGAGACACGCGTATATCTCTTCATATAAAATCTCGATTTAATTACTCATCCAGACGTCTAAGGTAAGTTTCCGCTACAATGCCTTACTGATGAGTCCAGTAGTGGAAGTCGGGACGAAACGAAATTATGTGACATTCTTTGCAATATATAAGAAAAAGTTAAAAGATCTAATTATTTACAGAATTTTAAATTATTAAGGAATTTTAATTTATCATCCTCAAATTTTAATATATCATTTAAACAATATTAAGATCCATGATGCTATGAGCATCAAAAA